TGCAGATAGCGTCACTGTGCTGTGCTTACCCCTTGCGCCACAAGGGAGGCCCTAAATATTTCTGACTTTTGTTCATGGTTGATTATTCCCTAATATCTTTAACTAAAATATTAACTAATATCCTTAACTTTCATCTGTTGGGAGGTTTGACATTTTTTTCTTATGAGAATATGGGTAGTACAAATATGATACAAATGTTGTTTTGTTCCATGAACTGTAGGGAAATCATTTCTAGGCATGAGAATTTTATTCCATAGTTACTATAAACCCTATAAATTTTCAGTTTCTCAAGGTATTTCCTGCCCCTTCTCTCTCAGAGCCCAACTGGAGAGAGTCAAGCTGCCTTGTTAACTTGCCAGTGGGCAGACTTCACCCTTTCAGGCAAGGATTTACCCTCCTTACAAGCTAGCCCATTAACCTGTCTCTGTGTCATGGCTGCCAGCAGGAGGAACGAGACTTCATGGTCAGACACCATCAGCAAGCAGCATTGGTGTCAGCTGTGTGTCAACCCTCCTCCCCACCAGGTCCGGGGGTGGGGGGTGTACAGAAGCCCCAGAGATGGCTACACATGCAGTGCGCTCTCTTCCAGAAGACATTACCAACCTCATTCCTCAAAGCTGCTTGCCTGCAAGCACCAGCTTGAGGAGTGGCCCAGGAGTGAGTGGCCAGAGGTCCCCAAGGGTGGTGTAGTCACCCAGAGTGTCTAAGAATGCTCCAGGCCACAGGGCGGTGCTCCTCCCAGTCCACCTGAGGGTGAAACCTTGTGATGGTCCTGTCTTGGTTCACTCCTGAGCTTATGTAACTCCATGGTAGTCTTTTACCAAGTGGGCATTAAAAGAGAGCCAAGAGCAACCTCAGGAGACATGATGACTACATGTAACATGGTACTCTGTGTGGGAGCCTGAAACAGAAAAAGGGTAGTAGGTGAAAATGGGGGAATCTAAATAAAGCATAGATTTTAGTTAAATAAGAAAACTTGGAGCTCCTCGAGCACTGGGGTTACTGGGGTAGAAAACCACATGTTTACTGTGTGTGAGTTCACCTATGCTATGCATTACATTTTTTGTTATATTTCATTTAGCATTTTAACCCTCCAAGTTTTCCATTTACCTTTATCTATAACTTTGTTGGAACCTAGGTGTTTGTTTAAAATTTATATTCCTGGATCCCAGCCTGAGATTGAGGCTTATATAGACAGAGCAGGGGCCCAGAGTCTGCTTTTGATAGCAAAGACTTCTGATATAGCTTAGTCAATGGGTTAGACCTTAAGAAATGCTGCATTGGCCTCCCCGGTGGCGCAGTGGTTGAGCGCTGGGTTGCGAAGCTGCCCACAGCCTCTGCGGCGCCGGTTCGATCCCCGGCTGCTCCCCGGCCCCGGAGGAGGATCCCACATGGTGCGCAGACCTCTCCTGCCGCCCGCTGCTCCCCTCAGCAGTGTACTTCGGTCCTTCTGCCTGCTCTGCTCCCCGCTCTGGCTCTGGTGAATTCTCTCACCCTCCCGCGCTTCTGACTGTACCCAGTGCATGTATAAACAAAACAAACAAACAAATATAATAAATAAATAAATAAATAAACATGCCTCTATAAAAAAACTAAAAAAAAAAAAAAGAAATGCTGCATTGAGGGGCCTCCCTGGTGGCGCAAGGGGTTAAGACACAGCACTGTGAAGCTGTCCACTGCCTCTGGAGCACAAGTTTGATCCCTGGCCAGGGAGGTGACCCACATCCCACAGCAGACCTCTCCTGACTCACCCACTGCTCCCCTCAGCAGTGGATTTCAGTCAATCCACCTGTTCTGTTTCCAACTCTGTCTCTGGTGAATCCTCTCACCTCCCATACCTCTGACCTCTACTCCAGTTCTGGTATGCATAAATAAATAAAATAAATCTTAAAAAAAAAAAGAAAGAAATGCCTATACCCCAGCTCTTGTGTGCATAAATAAATAAAATAAATCTTTAAAAAAAAAAAAAAAAGAAATGCTGCGTTGGGCCTCACTGGTGGCGCAAGGGGCTAAGCGTCAGCACTGTGAAGCTGTCCACAGCCTCTGTAGCACGAGTTCCATCCCCGGCCAGGGAGCTACCCACAGGGCACAGCAGACCTCTCCTGTCTCCCCGCCGCTCCCCTCAGCAGTGGATTTCAGTGGATCTGCCTATTCTACTTCCCACTCTGTCTCTGATGAATCCTCTCATCCCCCGCACCTCAGGCCTATACCCCAGCTCTTGTGTGCATAAATAAATAAAATAAATCTTTAAAAAAAAAAAAAAAGAAATGCTGCATTGAGAACGGAATCACAGAAAGGGTCGAAGAACGAGCTCGTGTGAGTCTTCAGACTGGAAGGCGCCCACTTCCTGGTGCAGGGGCAGCCACCCTAGTCTTCTATTGCTGAGACCAGAAAGGGGATGCCCGCTCCCTGCCTTCCCACAGATGTGGCTGGCCATGTGACCTGTCTGGTTACTGACACATAATGGAAAGCCCACTGGAGAGTTTCCAGAAGCACTTTTGGTTTTCAGATAAAGGAACACATTCCGCTGTCACTAACCCCTTTCTCCTCTGTACCTCGAGACAGATGTGATGTCTGAAGCTATGGCGGCATCTTGCCGCCATAAAAAGAGAAAGCATAAAAAGAATTCAGTATTCAGAAAGACCTTGGTCAGTGCTAGCATGATGCTGCTGAATGGACACTTCAACTGTCTCCCTCTAGAATTACATGAAATAAACTTAAGCCATGGGAAGTTACTTTTCCCTTTCTCATAGCCAAATTATTCCTGATGAACTTAAGATCCTCATTTCTTGTTAAAAACTTTTAAATTTAAGTAATTTCAGACTGAAACAAAAGCTTTAGCAATATAAAGAATTCCTGTGCACTTGCTACCCAGTTGCCCTAAATGACACGACTTTACTTCTCTTGCTTTATCATTTCTATATAGGTGTTCATTCCCCCAAACCATGTGAGAGTAATTTTTTTTTTAAAGATTTATTTATACAAGCACTGGGTATAGTCAGAAGCGCAGGGGGTGAGAGAATTCACCAGAGCGGGGAACAGAACAGGCAGACTGACAAAACACACTGCTGAGGGGAGCAGCGGGCAGCAGGAGAGGTCTGCGCCCCATGTGGGACCCTCGACCGAACCGGCGTTGCAGAGGCTGCAGGGGATTGAGCTGGAGTTGCAGAGGCTGCAGGCAGCTTCGCAGCCCAGCACTCAACCGCTGCGCCACCAAGGGAGGCCCCCATGTGAGAGTCGTTTATGATGCCCATAAATACTTTGGTGTTTACTTCATAAAGACAAGGAGGGCAGTTACCGTCCTCAGGGAATCACTGCTGAGTTGGCACTGTTATCTAGTTTACAGATGTCAAAATGTTCGCCGTCAGTCCCAATTTAATGTGATGGCAAAAGAAAACTCCAGGGCGCGTCACGTTCAGTTGCCGTGTCTCTCTAGTGTCCTTTGATCTGGGACGGCTCATCTTATATGATTTCAAAAAAAGTTGCAGTGACAGGCCTGTTACTTTGTTGTGTGTCCCTTAAGAGGGTTTGTCTCTACGGCCTGGGATTAGTCTCACACTAGGTGTTTGGGGCAGGAGCGCACAGCAGGTGCAGTCTCGTTCTCAACCAGGGGGCCCGACACCCAGCTGTGCTGTTGCTGGCGTGGAACTGGGATCACTTGGTTCGGGCTCACTGGCTAGGCTTCTCCACCGGAAAGTGCCCGTGTCCGCCCCCCCCCATAGCCCCCCCCACCAGGTTAGAATCCATTACTAGTATTATTTTCATACATACATCCTCCCCGGCTTGACCTTCCACCTGGTTCTGTGTCCTGACATGCCTCATCTGTTCCTTAGCTCTTTTTTCTTCCTGGGCACAGAGGGATTTAGGCTAATTTTGTTCTTTTTCTGCCCAGCCCCAGAATCAGCCATTTCCCCAAGGAGTGCTGGTTTCTTTGCGTGGAAAGGGGCGTTTGAGTCCTTGTTTCACTTCTGAATATTTATTGATTCTGTTCCTTCCGAGGTAGCTTTTCCTGAGAACCTGTCCTTTAATCGTGATCACAGCATCTATTTTACCATGTTCCCCCTCGCCCCTGCCATCTGGCCCAGCACCCTGACCCCGGAAGACTTGAGAATGTGTTTCTCTGGAGTCAGGCCAGGGCCTCCGAGCAAGTAAGTGCAGGAGCTCACCAGGTGTGCACTTGGATCGGCACAGAGAAGTAGTTTTCTAGACAAGTAGGGCAAAATTTATAATATCTACAATTTAAAGCCAAAAGTGGTGCCTCCCTGGTGGCACAAGGGGTTACGACGCAACCTGTGAAGCTGTCCACAGCCTCTGCAACACGAGTTCAATCCCCAGCCAGGGAGCTACCCACGTGGCGCAGCAGACCTCTCCTGTCTCCCCGCGGCTCCCCTCAGCAGTGTGTTTCATCAGTCTGCCTGTTCTGCTCCCCACTCTGTCTCTGGTGAATTCTCTCCCCGCCCCCCCCAACCTCTGGCCTGTACCCCAGTTCTTGTATGCATAAAGAAATAAATCTCAAAAAATAAAATAAAATAAAAATGAAGCCAAAAGTGTTAAATCACGTTACCAAGCTTGGATTATAAAACAGAGAATCAAAAATTCGTCAGCGAAAGTGAGTTACAAATGCAGTTTTGCCTCCCCGCCCCCACCCCCCGCCCCCGAGGAAACACTCACCAGGTAGTCGAGCCTGGCGCTCCCCAGCGGCCACGCGGGCTCCGTCTTCGCGGGCCCAGCCGCGTGCGGGTCAGGAGCCCCTCCCCGGCCCAGCGGCACGGCTCAGCGACGGGCGTCCCTGACGAGACCCCGAGGCCTCCCGGCGCTCCACTCACCGTGCCGTGCAGGGCCCAGGCGTTCCCGGCCCTCGGCCCGGCGCGGAGTCCTCGGTCTGCGGCAGCCACGGCGGGAGCCGCGCCCGGGAGGCGCGGGGGGCGCAAGCGCGAGTCTCTGCGCCGGCGCAGGCCCGTAGCTGCGGTTCCGCCGCCTCCACGCTGGCGTCCGGGCAGCCGTCCACGGCGACGCCCCCACGGCTACGTCCCTCCACGGGGACGACCCCCCAAGGGGACATCCGTCCACGGCGACGTCCCCCAGGGTGACGCCCGTCCACGGCGACGTCCCCCACGGCGACGCCCGTCCACGGCGACGCCCCCACGGCTACGTCCCTCCACGGGGACGACCCCCCAAGGGGACATCCGTCCACAGCGACGTCCCCCAGGATGACGCCCGTCCACGGCGACGTCCCCCACGGCGACGCCCGTCCACGGCGACGCCCCCACGGCTACGTCCCTCCACGGGGACGACCCCCCCAAGGGGACATCCGTCCACGGCGACGTCCCCCAGGGTGACGCCCGTCCACGGCGACGTCCCCCACGGCGACGCCCGTCCACGGCGACGCCCGTCCACGGCGACGCCCCCCAGGGTGACGCCCGTCCACGGCGACGCCCCCACGGCTACGTCCCTCCACAGGGACGACCCCCCAAGGGGACATCCGTCCACGGCGACGTCCCCCACGGCGACGCCCGTCCACGGCGACGCCCCCCACGGCGACGCCCGTCCACGGCGACGTCCTTCCACGGCGACATCCTTCCACGGCGACGTCCCTCCACGGGGACGTCCTTGCGCGCTGACCCGCGCGGCGCTGCGGCCGGGGCGGCCTCCGAGGGACTCCCTGCTTCGGCCTCGGTGCGCGTGTCGTGGCTCCGGCAGAAGCTCCAACGCGCGCTCCGGCCGCGGGGCGTCGGCCCAGCCCCGGCCTCGCGGGACCGCACCCGCCCCCCCCCGCGCCCTCACCGACGCCTGCGCCGCGGGCCGCGCGTCTCCGCGCGAGGCCTGGGTTGGCGCGCGGCCCCGCGGGACCCGGATGGCGCACGCGGGGCCCGAGGGTGATGACGGGGGCCCGAGGCACGCTCTGCCTCTGAGGCGGGCCGGGCCGCCCCTGCAGGCCGGGGGCTTGGCGAGAGCTGAGCTGCTGCCGGGACGCGCATCTTTGGGGGAGGCGTCAGATTGACAGAGACAGAAGAAACCGCACCCTCACCTTCTTCCAGGCCGCCGGCCCCCAGAGGTGCCCGCCTTGGGGTGCGCCCGCTCGGAGCGGAGGGAGACGGCGCTGCCGCGAGGCCCAGGGCAGAGTGGGCGGTGCCTGGGGGCTGCGCGAGGTCTCCGGGGCCCTTCCATCTCGCCTCCGTCTCCCGCTCAGCCTCCACGTTTATTTTTTTTTAAGATTTGTGCGCACAAGAGCTGGGGTGCAGGCCAGAGGTGCAGGGGGCGGGGGGTGAGAGGAGGCACCAGAGACAGAGCGGGGAGCAGAACAGGCGCATCCACTGAGACACACTGCTGAGGGGAGCCGCGGGGAGTCAGGAGAGGCCTGCTGCGCCCTGTGGGCAGCTCCCTGGCCGTGGATGGAACAGAGGCTGCGGACAGCTTCCCGGTGCCCAGACTTAACCCCTTGTGCCACCAGGGGTTAGAACCCACAGTTCTAAAGCCCAACTCTAGCCATTCCTTGCTCTTGTTAAAATCCACCAATTGCTCATTATTCCCGTTATAAAATTGAAAGTTTAGCACTAACGGCGACCAGTGACAAGTGACCTGAAGCTCAGGATCGGCGATGAGGGGTACCTACCCGGGCAGCTGGAGCGTGCTCCTCGGGCCCTCTTTTCTCTTAGGGAGCTGCCAATGTTAACAGAATATTATTTAAAAACTTGTTCTGTTAGAAACACAAATGTTCTGGAGCCTCCCTGGTGGCACAGCAGGTTGATCGCAGCGCTGTGAAGCTGTCCGCAGCCTCTGCAGTGCTGGTTTGATCCCTGCTGGCCTGGGAGCTACCCACATGGTGCAGCAGACCTCTCCTGTCTCCCCGCTGCTCCCCTCAGCAGTGTCCTTCGGTTCTTCTGCCTGTTCTGCTCCCCGCTCTGGCTCTGGTGACTCCTCTCACCCTCCTGCGTATCTGGCCTGTATCCCAGCTCTTGTATAAATAAAAAATAAATCTTAAAAAAAAACCCACAAATGTTCTCTTAACAAAAAAAAACTATTTCCACTGAAAAAGCTGAGAAACGAGGGCCAATCTGCTAGTGACGAGATTCTACTCCTTTTTCTTTTCTTTTTTTAAAGACTTATTTATTTATACAAGCACTGGGTACAGTCAGAAGCGCGGGAGGGTGAGAGGATTCACCAGAGCCAGAGTGGGGAACAGAGCAGGCAGAAGGACCGAAGGACACTGCTGAGGGGAGCAGCGGGCGGCAGGAGAGGTCTGCGCGCCATGTGGGACCCTCCTCGGGTGGCCGGGGAGCAGCCGGGGATCGAACCGGCGCCGCAGAGGTCACCGGCAGCTTCGCAGCCCAGCGCTCAGCCGCTGCGCCACCGGGGAGGCCCAAGATTCTACTCCTTAAACGCCAGTTCCCACCTGCCTCCAAGGCCGAGGGTGAGAAGGTAACTAGCCGGGCTCGGGGCATCTCCTGTCAGCAGGCAAGGATGCTGTCCCGGCAGAAGACCCGCAGTCTCCATGAAGATATTTGAGCTGGCCAAAGAGGGGAAGGACGACTTGGCCCTCCACAAAACTCCTGTAGATTGAAAAACAATAAATATGTTAAAAATCGTGGAATCACAATGATTTAAAAAGATGAAGGAGAAAACAAATACAAAATATAAAAATAAATAAAATAAGAAGAAAACCTTCAGTGGCCACGCGTAGGAGATGCCAGGGGAGCTCCTCCGACCACCGGTGACGGGAGAGACGATGCCTGCGCGGCGGCAACTGCACAGGCAATGACAGCAAATTCCCATGAGAGTTCCAGTGAGTGGAGGAAGGACAGACTCCGATCCCACCACTCTGCATCCCTCAGTGAATTAAGGAGACCTGGGCCACATCCCAGGACCGCGAGACCATAGGCTGCTGGTGGGAAAGCTCTCGGCCGGCCAGGGAGGAGATTCAGACACACCTTAAAAACATGAGCTCTTGGGCCTCCCTGGTGGCGCAAGGGGTTAAGTGGCAGCACTGTGAAGCTGTCACCAGCCACTGCAGCCAAGTTCAATCCCTGGCCAGGGAGCTACCCACACGGTGCAGCAGACCTCTCCTGTCTCCCCGCTGCTCCCCTCAGCAGTGAATTTCAGTAGATCTGTTCTGCTCCCCACTCTGTCTCTGGTGAGTCCTCTACCTCCTGCACCTCTGGCCTGCACCCCAGTTCTTGTATGCATAAATAATCTTAAAAAAAAAAAACAAAACGAGCTCTTGGCCACCTGAAATGTTCTTGCCAAAAGGTGAAACTGAGTGTGATCCACAAGGCTGTTTAAAAAGAAAGCCAGAATGTAAAAATTCCAAGTTAGTCCATTGCAAGATAAAAGAAAAAAAGTGCGTGGGCCTCTACTGGGGCCCTTCACAGCCATCACTGCAAACACTGGAAGCAGCTGGAGGTCAGCCCCACCTGCTCGCCTGATATTGTTTTTAGATGAGAAAATGATTTGGGGAAAGCCCATATTATAGCGTGGGGTTTCTCACCCTGGCACAGTTGCTATTTTGGTCTGGATCATTCTCTCTGGCAGAGGCTGTGCTGTGCCTGTAGGACATCTAGTAGCTTCCCTGGGCCCCACCCACTGGACGCCAACAGCTTGCCTAGAAGGGACAACAAAGCACCTCCAAGCACCCGGTGCCTCCGGGGCGCAGCTGCTCCAGACCGAGTCTCCATGTGCGGACCATTGGCCACAAAGGTCAAGACCACACTGTCCAGAACTTGTGGGAATAACCCAAAGCAGGGCCTCACCAGTGGCGCAGCAGTTGAGTGCTGGGCTGCGAAGCTGCCCGCAGCCTCTGCAGCGCCGGTTCGATCCCGGCCGCCAGAGGGTCCCACATGACGTGCAGACCTCTCCTGCCGCCCGCTGCTCCCCTCAGCAGTGTACTTCGTCGTTCTGCCTGTTCTGCTCCCCGCGCTGGTGAATTCTCTCACCCTCCATCGCTTCTGACTGACCCAGATTATTATGTATAAATAATCTTTTTTAAAAAAAATTAATAACCCAAGGCAAGGTGCGGGACAGCGTGGCCAGCGCTGGTATCTGCAAGGCTGGGCAGTGAGCACGTGGGTAGTGGGCATGTGGGGATTCATTACACTATTTCCTCTGTTTATCTTAGTGATATTCCACAATAAAAAGGAGCGTTAAAAACCATAGTGCCCAAGAGGTATTTAAGGATTTGTTTTCTGAAACGTCTTTAGCATGTTGGGTCGCCTGTACGTCAAAGCCCTCTAGTCGGTCCTAGTGAGGGCTTTGGTCGACTTCCCGTCTCGAGAAACCAGATGATCTAATGATTGGATGATAATTCTTTTCCAAACCAAGTGGTTTGGTTTTTTTTTTGGCTTTCAACAAAATTGAAGAACTCAATTGTTGTATTTTTATTATAAACCATTGAGATATTTTGGATGCAACTAAGATGTCCTAAAAAACGTGTGACATCACAGTAACAAAGCACCAGCTTCCACACGCTTATCATGAAGAGAACTGGTCACAAGTCAGAATATTCTAGCAAGTAGTAATATTTACCCCCCTTTTTATACTTTTATTTTAAAAACTTGCATTAAGAAATGCAGTTCAACTATCTTCTAGAATTATCACAAAAATGTATTATGTTACTTTGGCCAAATATGCACTAACAATAATTATAATGATGTAAAATAGTTTTTCTGGACCGAGTTAACAACCTTATGGACCCAGGGAATCAAAGTATTATTGTTACCAAAAATGACAGTGATCAAAAATGAGACTATGGGGGCCTCCATGGTGGCGCAAGGGTTAAGATGCAACCTATGAAGCTGTCCGCAGCCACTGCAGCACGAGTTCAATCCCCCAGCAGGCCAGGGAGCTACCCACATGGCGCAGCAGACCTCTCCTGGCTGCCTGCTGCTCCCCTCAGCAGTGGATTTCAGTCTGCCTGTTCTGTTCTCTGCTCTGTCTCTGGTTAATCTTCTCATCCCCCAAAACCCCTGGCCTGTACCCCCGCTCTTGTATGCATAAATAAATCTTTAAAAAAAACAAGACTATGCTCTAAAATATTACATAAGGATAAAATTTTGAGGGAAGTGAAACTTTTTTTGGTATTGTATTTCTTTTTTTAATACTTTATTTTATATAATTCTTTTTTTTATAGAGGCATGTTTTATTTATTTATTTGTTTGTTTGTTTGTTTATACAAGCACTGGGTACAGTCAGAAGCGCGGGAGGGTGAGAGGATTCACCAGAGCCAGAGCGGGGAGCAGAGCAGGCAGAAGGACCGAAGTACACTGCTGAGGGGAGCAGCGGGCGGCAGGAGAGGTCTGCGCGCCGTGTGGGACCCTCCTCCGGTGGCCGGGGAGCAGCCGGGGATCGAACCGGCGCTGCAGAGGCCGCGGGCAGCTTCGCAACCCAGTGCTCAACCGCTGCGCCACCGGGGAGGCCCTATTTTATATTATTCTTACATCATTTTTCATCTTTGCACAATGTATGTATTTTCATTATGGTTATATTCCCCATACAATTGCACCCACCCCCCCTTATTTTGACTCTATTCCTTTCTCTCCACGCCCCACCCTCTCCCCGCCTCCAGTAGTGTCTCTGGTTTATAGTTGCTTGTTGATTTTGATTTTTACTTTGTATTGATTAGTCTTTTTCCTGGTCCCTTATTTAGGGTTTCTAGATTCCTGCTATGAGTGAGACCATCTGGTATTTTTCTTTTTCTTTTTCTTTCTGGCTTATTTTGCTGAGCATGATCCCTTCCAGCTCCATATATGTTGCTGCAAATTTCATGTGTTTATCTTTTTTGATGGCTGAGTAATATTCCATGGTGTATATGGACCCCATCTTCTTGATCCAGTCATCGATTTTTGGGCATTTGGGTTGTTTCCATAGCTTTGGAATTACTGTTTCTGTGTCCTTTGGGTAAATACCCAGGAGTGGAATCGAGGAATCTCCACACAACTCTCCACAGTAGCTGGACCACTTTGCACGCCCACCAGCAGTGCAGGAGAGTTCCTTTTTCTCCACAACCTCGCCAACATTTGTTGTTGCTAGTTTAATATGTGCCATTCTCAGGAAGTGAAGCATATTTAAAGAGAAAAATAGATATAACGTTTTCATCTGATGAAGAGCTTTGTTCACCCCTTAAAAGGGATGGGGTTTCACTGGATTCATAGGAGTGAGGTACAGTAGGCCCCATATCCTACCTCGATTTCTGGTTTCAGTGGTCAAATGTGGTCTGAAAATTTTAGACAATACTGAGACCACACTCACATCACTTTCATTACAGCCCGTTATTATAATTGTCCTTGTTATGATTAGTTATTGTTAATCTTTCACTGGCCTCATTTATAAATTAAACTTTATCATCATCAGTAGGTGCATAGAGAAGAAAACAGTATCTGCGGGGGTTAGCTCCATCCACGTTTCAGGAGTTCCCTGGGGGTTTTGGATTGTTATGTCCCACAGATAAGGGAAATTTAATTTTCTGGATTTTTATTTATTTATGCATGCAAGAACTGGGGTACAGGCCAGAGGTGTGGGGGGTGAGAGGATTCACCAGAGACAGAGTGGGGAGCAGAACAGGCAGACTCACGAAATCCACTGCTGAGGGGAGCAGTGGGGAGACAGGAGAGGTCTGCTGTGCCCTGTGGGTAGCTCCCCGGCCGGGGATCGAACTCGTGCTGCAGAGGCTGCAGACAGCTTCACAGTGCTGAGACTTAACTCCTGTGCCACCAAGGAGGCCCCCAAGGGAGATTTAATTTTCTATCTGTAGTTTTTATCTTGAAATTCACAGTATATTATGTTGGCAATTTCACGTACCAACTTAAATATACAAAAAAATTAGATTTCAAGTTTACAAAGCAGGGAGGGTTGTAATTTTTCCAAATTCTGTCCAGGGCATGTGGGCAAGGCCGGTGAGCAGCCGGCTAGCTGCACTGGGCCTGCCCCGCTGTCCGGCTGTGCGTTGCCAGGGTTGCCAGGGTCCACCTCCCGCCTCACCCCGTGCTGCTTCACGAGCACCTCACTAAGTCCCTCCGCTTCCCTGGCGGACTCCGTGGGTCAGAGGTGAAAATGAACACCAGGGAGGGCTCAGGCACACGCCTCTGCGCGCTTTGTCCCCATCTCAGAGTGAGGATACGCCCCCCCCCCCCTCAGGGTCCACCGCCAGGAAGGCCGGGGTTCTAGCCGTCTCTGCTCCCCGGCAGGTTCGGGCGCCCTTCCACACAAACCATCACCTGAGCTGACTTTATGAGGACTCCGCTTCCCCTCCCTCCTACGGCCGCCAGTTTTCCCACAGAGAATGGCCAGTGGAGACAGACATGCTTTTCAAAGCGAGGCTGCCCCCGCACCCTTACTTACGAGCCCCCACTCCCTTTTTGCTGCGTACTAAATCCCCGTCTTTTTTGGGAACTCCCGTATAACAAAGGAGCCCCAGGGGCACCTGACGCCAGCCCGTGCTGTCAGCGCTCTGCCAACCTGAGTGAAGCGACTGTTCTCCTCACCCTCCTCCTGTCCTCTCCCTTGAAGCCCTGCGGGCTGATCGGCTGCTCCGCGGGGGTGAGCCGGGGTGTTTTCTGTTGTGGTTTTCAGTGACTGAATCGCACTCAAGTCAACGCTGTCCCGCAGGAACTACGAACAATGAAACTGAGAAAAATAAACACAAATATGAACAAACCACCTTTTATTTCACACAGAGATACAAAGGCCATTGTGTGCGGCGACACGACGGACGGGGAGTCCAGATCCCTGGGAGGAAGTAAAGTTATGACAAATGTCACGAGGCTGGTCAAGGAGAAGGTCAAAGGCAGTGAGAGGAGACGGAGAAGGCCGCAGCCAGCAAGGCCCTGCCGTTCCTAGCTCCCGGCACTCAGCACTGTTAAAGCCACATGCTACCGAGCCCTGGGCATTCCACACGGGCATTCGTGCCATCTGGCATGAGTTGTGTCAGGGAAACGAATATCCTCACGACTCCTGAGCCGTGATATTGCTTTTTTTTTAAGGATTTATTTATAAATAGAACTGGGGTGCAGGCCAGAGGTGTGGGCAATGAGAGGATTCCCCAGAGACAGAGCGGGGAACAGAACAGGCAGACTAACTGAAATCCACTGCTGAAGGGGGCAGCCATGTGGGCAGCTCCCTGGCCGGGGATCAAACTCGTGCTGCAGAGGCTGCGGACAGCTTCATAGGTTACGTCTCAACCCCTTGGCCACCAGGGAGGCCCTGAGCAGTGGTATTGTTAGAGGCCGCTGGCTGTTCACTGCCTGTCGCTGTGGAGCCCTCGGGCACCAGATGGGCATTTGTTCTGGGAAAGGCTGTCGCATGCCATTCCCAGCACATGAGGTGGCGCTGCCCGAGTGAACAGCATCTACTTTTAATCAGAGAAAAGGACTAAACAACTGTCTTCTAAACTGCAACCAAACCAAGGGCAGGTGGGGAGGCTCCTCTAGGGCGCCACCCCTCACACGCCACCTGCCCAGCGTGGACTCAGGCCACTCACCCACGCCCGGCCTGGGCAGGGAGCGTCCATCGCAAAGCGCTCGGCCCCGAGCCTGCGTGTGAACAGGGACACGTCACAGAGTTTACTAGTAAAACTGTTTATTGATTTTAAATAGCCATCAGAAAATTTTAAAAAGTTAAAATTTTACATTTTGTGACATAATAGCCAATAAAATGACAAAAATAGATTCAGTAGCAAGCATGATGGAATATATCTTCCTGTATAAACAAATTTTCTTAAAAATACTTCACTAAAGTCAACGTTTAGCACTGAATCCCTTCCCACTAAAGGCAGCTCCCAAGAGCTAAGGCACCGGGGGGACATCAGAGGGAGGAAGAAGAAAGCGGGGAAGAGACGCGAGACCGGGCGGCTGGAGTTCTGGTTTCGCGTCAGCCGTGCAAGACACGACGAGCGCGCCGCGGCCCGGCACGTGGCCCTGGCGTCTCAGCTCCGAGGAAGCGCGGAGGTCACGCTTACATGTGAGCCAGTTTCCAAGACCCTCTTCGTACAGTAGCCTAACGCCTCTGGAAGCATTATTACGTGCATCTTTAAGATTCCTATCATCTACACTCTAAGAAGGGAAATGAAACTTCAAGGGGTGCCTGGGACACCTCGGCCAGGACACAGGGCGTGGGGGCCACGCTCCAGGGCAGGGGCGGGCTGGTGGCGGCGTGTGCTCGAGTCTAGTCACCGGCCAGGATGGGGCTCGGACGGCTCCAAATTTACCCGAGCAGCTGGACGTTGCCAGTGGGACTCTGCCCTCCACGAATGAGCTACAGCAACAGAACTGTCCCTATTTGTTGATTTATTTTCAAAAGATTTATTTATTTATTTATACGAGAACCGGGGTGCAGGCCAGATGCCTGAGAGGGTGAGAGGATTCACCGGAGCCAGAGCAGGGAACAGAACAGGCAGACGGACCGAAATCCACTGTTCAGGGCAGCAGCGGGAGAGGGAGGAGAGGTCTGTGCGCCATGTGGGACCCTCACCGGCCGGCCGGGATCGAACCCGCGCTGCAGAGGCTCCAGGACAGCTTCACAGCGCGGCGCTCAACCACCTGCGCCACCAGGGGAGGCCCAGAATTGTCCCAATTTAATGGTGACATTTAAAATGTCACCACCCTGTAAAGGGAAGCAGAACGAGAGGAGCCGATGGGGCCCAAAGGCAGGCGTGTCGCTGCCGGGACAGGCCCGTGATGGCCGCCTCTGCACGGCGGAGGGGCCGCAGCGGCTGGCGCTTTGCTGATTGGTCCTTCTGTGTATGAAAGTTCTCGGTGCTAACAGCACCCACATCTAAGTAAGAATTCCTATTTCATTGTCTGTTTCTGAGGAAACAGTTCCCAAGCTAACAGTCTGGTAAAACAATGCTAAGATCCTACAAGAGTTTTAGTGGCGTTTCTACGCTCTCCAAAGTCACAAAACAAAAGAACAAGAAGGATCAGACCAGGCCTGAAATACGATGTTCACCGTGGACAAGGGCGGCAAGTGCCCTGCTGGGACGGGAGTTGGAATGGTGGCATCCGAGTGTATGGACGGAGGCTCCGCTGTGGGCTGGTCTTTGCTTCCACTGAGTGGAGAAGGACCCAGAAAGGCGGCCTCGAGGCGCGTCTTCCCTTGTCCTTCTGGCGCACAGCAGGTCACCAGTTACTTCCCATAGAACTTCTTGTTTAGAAGGAAGATGAGAAGGTTGACGTTGACTTTCGCCCTGTCAAACAACTTCATGACCGCGACGCCCTCATACTGCAGCTGCAGCAGGTCCTGTGCGAGGAAACGTGACCATTAACCAGGCCCGTGGAGCAGGGAGAGGGAGGTCAGGGCCCAGGCAGCCCCAGGGGGAGGCGTGGCCTGCGTGCCCCATGTGAAATGGGGTGAGAAAAGCTTCCCAGCCACCGAGCTGCCCACGGCCCAGTGGTCCTGAGAGCCTGCCGGGCAGACCAATGTTCGGCGTCACTCGGCATGAGGAAGGGCTGTGGCTCAGAGCCAGACACCGGGCGCACTGTCACCTCACAGCCTACGCGCCTCACACCCCTCGTCACAGTGCCACCCCCCACCCCCCAACCCCCCGGCTAGTGACGGGGAGGGTGAGGGCATCTCATTCCACGATGAAGTGCCCTCACCACCGAAAACAAGTCCAGGCAGCAAATCCACCCCACACCCCTGCTGTTCACTAGTTCTCACTCCTCCCCACGCGAGAAGGCGAGAGAGGGCCAGACGCCACCAGGTGCTGCTGAGGCACACGACACTGTACGCACATCTAAGTGGCTTCTGGGGTCCTGGCCAAAGTACCACGGGGAGGGAGTCTCAGGGACAGTCAGCGACCTGCCGCAGCCTGTGCGGGTCTGGGCCCAACCGTACGGTCCACCACCGTCCAGAGATATTCAGGAAGCTGAGGGGCCTCCCCCACCACCTCAGGAAGCAAGAGTGCAGGACTGGAGAGGACCCCGGGAGCTCGACCAATTCATCTTATGGAAAATTCCCAAAGTCCCATGAGGACAGTGGGGAACGACACATGTCTGACCAACACCCGCCCTGCCTGTCACTCTCATTGAGGGACTCAGGCAGCAGGAGGGCACTACCTGAGCCCCAGGAATGCAGGGACTGAGGGACGGCAGGGCCCCAAGGGCAGTGCGCAGGTGAGCCATGGGCGTCAGTCCCCTCGCCTCTGTCCAGCACCACGTCTCAAGGTCGACTTCTCATCGAGAAGGAAAACAAAGAAACCCCCCGCCGCCCCAAAAGAGCTGACAGTTTGGGGGAGAGGGAGACAAGGCCCACTCTACAGGTGAGGGAAGCCAGGGGAAGCCACCGGGGGAGGCTCAGGGGACAAACATGTGAGTCCTGGTTAAAGATGGAGGTGGGGAGGGTCCCCGACTACGGGGGCGCAGCACGTGCACAGGCCCAAGGGCAATTTCGGGGCAGTACGGGTCCAGGTGGCCAGGGGCGGTGCTGTGTGTGGGGCGGGTCAGGCAGCACTGACCATGGGGGCTGGACACAGAGCCACAGGCATCTGCAAGGCCCCTGGGAGCCTTCCCAATGCTGGCATGCTTCTTCAAAGAGAAAAGTAGGTATTTCAGAATAAAAATTAGGATCACAATGGCACAACCTGATTCAGAGCTTTTTGAGTTGAAACTGGGATTCTGTTTACAAAGATGCAATTTGCAATTCACATGCACGGGTCAGAAGTGCACCCACAAGCACCGGCGTCAAATCAAAGCAGGAGGCCCACAACTCGGAATCGTCAGGATGTATCAAGTATCTGTTCAAGTCCCGGCCTCAGCACAGCGCAGCGCAGCGGATCACTAAGGGCAGGCTGCGGACAGGGCTGTCCGAAGAGGCCCAGGCTGCACAGGCGCCAGCACACCCAGCCCAGGACCCACACAGACCCGCGGTCCCACGCCCGCTCCCGCCAGAGGGGGTTGCCCTTCCCCCACCCTCCCCACAGAGGCCGGGGCTTTCAGCGCGCGCCCACCTGATAATGCAACATGAAAGTCTCCATCTGAACTCCCATGAACTTGGCTTTCACTTCAAAGTCCCCAACTTCTTCTGTTGGATTGATCTCAAAGATAACATTTTTAAACCTGTTGAAACACAACATCATAAGGGTGAGACTTTCATGTTCTCATATGACAACACCCTCACGTGAAAACGTGGAAAGGAGATGAACAGCAGCTTCAAGCATGGAAACAAGGACGGAAGGAAGGGGGCTTCTGCAGGCGCCCCTGGGGGGCCACCCTGCACCACCACCTGGGCCGGGAGAGGGGCGCAGGCGCCAGCCATGGCTGCAGCAGGAGCTCACGCAAGGCACTTGCTGCTGGAGCAGCGGTGAAGGGAGACTGACAGGAAACTGGGCTGGAAGGAGAGAGGAAAAAGGGAGCCTGGGGGCATGTTGAAGGTTAGCAGAGAGCAGACAAGGGGGCCGGGAAGAGGGGAGAGAGGAGGTGTCTGGACGAGCAGGAGCCACACGGGCCAACGGCGAGCAGCAGTGAAGATCAACCGCCACTACTGGAGACACCGAATGCGCCAGCCGCTCTGGGTGCCGGAAATCTTCTGGCGCCAGGGCTGGTGGGAATGTGTCCCCAGGTGCCTGGGGAATAAATATCCCCCGGATTCCCAGAACTCGAGTTCCCGCAACCTCCTTTCTTGTGACCATAGCTGAGGACCGCGGAGGCCTGGAGGGGCCCACTGGGGAGCCCCAGGGAAGTCACAAGACCCCACCCCAAAACACACACGCTTGGCCCAAGAGGCCCTCCCAGCTATTCTTTAAAGATATCTTTGTGATGAATCATTTTATTTTCATAGGGCCCATAGTAGCAAATTAAAAAGACAAATAGAGGCAGGCTCTTACCGGCAGCGAGGAATAGCGACAAAAGGGAGAGAGAGAGAAATACTATGTGACAGATCTGGAAAATGCATAAAGTCCTCAACAAAAACACCAAGGTCCCCACCAAAAAAAGACAGTAAGGCCTCTAAAAAGGTAACTAGCTTTAAATACTGAACCTAAAACTATCAAAAATTATTTTATTATTCACGATGGCCAGGAAGTTGCCGCTGGAGAGCACTCTGGCCTGTGCATCAGCGAACAACCTTCTTAAAAATAAGTTTCATGATCCAACAATCCCACGCTGGGCATAGATATTCACAGAAGTCAAAACAGGACAATGAAGGAACATTACTCTTCCACGGTCCTTGTAGCACTCTTCCAAACAGCCGGGAGGCAGGGCGAGCCAGTGTCTGCTGGGCCGGGAAGGTGCGCGGGGGCAGCTCCAGGGCGACCAGCTGGGGCGGCCCGAGGACACCGCACTCAGCGATGCGAGCCCATCAGAGGGCAACCTCTGCGCCAGCCGCGGACTGCGAGGTGCCCAAAGTAATTACTTTCAAAGAAACAGGACCGAATGGAGGGGTGCACTGTGCCGGGGAAAGGGAAGTGAGGAGGTGTTTAATGGACAGGTTGAGTTTTGTAAGAGGAGAAGCTTCCGGAGACCTGGTGCACAACCCATACGAGTGTACTTAATACTACTACTTAATGACTGAAAATAGTTAAGATGGTAATTTGTGTTTTGCAATAAAACATCTTTTTTATTCTGACCAGAAATTCCATTTTTAGGCATCTAGCATAAAAAAGCAATCAGAGGTAGGGAGGACCAAAAATTTACACATAAAGGTGTCAGCACATGTCCAACAATGTAAACATCAAAATCAACTGAAATCAGGGACCTCCCTGGTGGCACAAGGGATTAAGCACCACACTGTGAAGCAATCCGCAGCCTCTGCAGCGCGAGTTTGATCCCCGGCCAGGGAGCGGCCCACGTGGTGCAGCAGACCTCTCCTGACTCGCCCGCTGCTCCCCTCAGCAGTGTATTTCAGTCCTTCTGACCTGTTCTGCTCCCCACTGTCTCTGGTGAATCCTCTCACCCCCCCGCATCTCATACCCCAGCTCTTGTATGCATAAATCAATCAATCTTAAAAAATAATCAATTGATATCGATGAAGTCAACCACCACAGGCGCTAGTGCGTGGACATTACAAAGGCGCATTCAAAGAATGGGCAAATGTTCACAATGTGAGAAGAGTCTGGGGCCGTGACTATGAATGGAACCGGCCCGCTTTCATGACAAAGGTGAGCAGACAGAGAAGTGGGCAGAGAGGAGAGCTTTGTGCGTGTGAGCAGAGGCAGAGAAATCCACTAGGATGATCTCAGTGGTTAGCTTTGGTTTGTGAGATTACAGGTCCTTTTTTCCTACATCTTGGTATTTTACATTTTCCAAGTTCAATAATGAATACATACCATTTACAGTCAGAATATAAAGGTTTCTTTTTAAACAAACACAAGAACAGGAAGCTCAGTCACCTCAGGCCACGGGCTGACTAAGAAGGTGCTGCCAATAGTGGCAGCGGGCCAGGCCCTAGCAGCACGTATGAAACACGCGTGAAACACCACAGGGCAAGCTGGCACTTCCAGAAAAGACAAGGAGGACGAGTCAATGGTTCCAATTGGAATAAAGAAGATCCCTCCCCTTGGCATACTTATGTATTCTTGGCTTAGACTCAGAAGAAACACCTTCTTGCTTTAAAGAAGAAAAAATTCAGAGGGGGCCATACAAATGGGATTGAACATGTTCTGAAACAAATGTGTCCCACATGGAAAAGAAACACTTTCCCTCCTACTGCAGACAGTGAGCTCTGAGTATCAGGCCCAATTCTGCATAGACAGAGAAACAGAAACCATAAAAATGACCAACCAGGGCCTTCCTGGTGGTGCAGGGATTAAAGTCTCAGCGCTATCAAGCTATCGCCAGCCACTGCAGCCTGAGTTCGATACCGGGCCAGGGAGGTGACCCACAGGGTGCGGCAGGCCTCTCCTGTCTCCCCGCTGCTCCCCTCAGCGGTATATTTCAGTAGATTCGCCCGTTCTGCTTCCCACTCTGTCTCTGGTGAGTCCTCCTACCAACTGCCGACCCCCCCGCCCCAGCATCTCTGGCCTACACCCCAGATCTTGTATGCAAAAATAAATAAATCTTTTTTAAAAAATGACCAACCAGGTTAAAAAACAAACAAACATAAAGGCAATAAGGTAAAGTGGTGACAAATGCAGAAATAAGAAAATCGATGTTTCAAAGTACCAAGGTAAATACTTACTGATTCACTTGCAGGTCCTCAATTTCCAGAAGAACTCCTTTCTCATGTAGTCTTGCTGCAGTATATTTGAGAGAAATCTTTTTGCTTTTCTTTCCTTTCATTTCCCGAGGCTTTTTGGAGACCCTGTAAAAATCACTGTGTCATGTGACAGAAGTAACTTTCTTTCTTTCTTTTTTTTTAAATATTTTTATTTATTTATTTATATAAGCACAGGGTACAGTCAGAAGCACGGGAGGGTGAGAGAATTCACCAGAATTCACCAGAGCCAGAGCAGGGAGCAGAACAGGCAGACTGATGAAGTACACTGCTGAGGGGAGCAGCGGGCGGCAGGAGAGGTCTGCACGCCTTGTGGGACCCTAGCCAGTGGCTGGGGATTGAACCGGCGCTGCAGAGGCTGCGGGCAGCTTCGCAGCACAGTGCTCAACCTCTGTGCCACTGCGGAGGCCCCAGAAGTAACTTTCTATTATGAGTCACTGTTGGTAATTCAAGGACATGAGGTCAGAAGACAAACTTCTTATACACAAGCATGAGTCTCACATGCCAGTTCTAAAATGGCAAATAAATGTTAGGGTCAGCCACAGCACTATCTTTGCAAAACAGGGGAAACATCACTAGGTTGCTTTTGTCTTTCTTTCAGACAATCTAGAACACACCAGGAATTCAAAGAGGCCGGCCGAGCCGACGCGGGAGCACATGGTGCTGGGGTCCCGGCCTCCAGACACGGTTCTTCAGTACCAAGAAGCAGGTGCTGGGAGAAGCAGCTGGTGCCCAGCCTGGAAGGGGTGAGCACAGGTTGAACCTCACAATCTTGTAGCAGAAAGTGAGGATGGGCTCAGAAAAAGGGGGGGGCTGTCTCCAATGGCCACACCTCCTCTGCTGGGCGAGAAGGACCCGGTATCTACCTGTCACAGCCACTCACTCCGGGGCGTCTGCTGAAGGAGAGGGACAGAGATGGGGTGCAGTGCAAGAGGGTACAGAGGAGGGAGGCTGAGGCAGCACGATTCCAAAAACCAGGCGAATCAGGGAAAGCGTTGCCGGGTGCTCAGAGGCTTGGACACACAAGAGACTGACGCTGGAAGCAGAAGCTGCGGGGCTCAGGGTCCGTCTCCCTGACACATGGGGCCGCTCCAAGGGGGCACGGGGCACTGGCATCCTGTCCCCGGAGGGAGCAGACATAGGCCAGGGGACTGAGGCGCTTATGAGCCTCCTGAAGGGACTTTGAGGCACATACAGGTTTTGAGACCAAAACCTTTTCACGTTTATTTAATTTCCAGGACCAAGAATATATTTTGGGACAAGAGATGTGTAGACAAAGCACCCCTAAAGTGCCCCCTCCCCATTATTTATACCACACAAATAACAAGGGCAACTAGGAAGCTGCACAAATGACTAGCGCAAGAGTGGGCGCGACCTCACGAACCAGTGTGCCTCAGGGGAAAGCCCCTCAGTCACCTCATTGCCCCCCTCATCAGACTCTTTCCAGCTGGAAAGGCCACTCACTTGCCCTTGCTGGCCAGGTTGTCCAGGCAGGTCTTGATGTAGCTCTTGTAGTAATCCACCTGCTCCCCATAGAAGACGGCCTTGGAGTTGAGGGCGGCGTAGGTCTGCTGCAGCTTCACCAGCTCGGCCTTCCTCCTCTGCCGGTACCGCCGCTGATTCCGAATGTCCTGAGATGGAATTATTGAAATAAAGAAAACTGAAGGCCAGCGCCCACGGCCTGGCCGCGCCTTGCATGACCACAGGTCCTGACAGGCGTAGCAGCAATTCACGTTCAAAGACTAACAAAGAAACTCAAATCTCATCCATTTTCCCGCACTGGTAGTTCTTAGGGGTCATCACGCTTACAGGCTTCCACATCCTCAGAATTACTTGCAAAGCTGGTTGGCGCCTCTAAAATACGTCGGCAGCTGAGCAGGCGCTTCCATCCGGCCACCGTCACGCTGCCCAGTGAGCAGGCGCCCGTGGCCTGACCCCCATCTCACTGAGGAGACTCACAAACCAAGGATCTGATGATCAGCCTGACTGAACTTGCATTTTAGAATAATCATGAAAAAAATCTAAAAGAACGCCTTCAGGCCAAAGGCAACCCGAGACACTGAGGCACAGGAGGCTCGAGTCAGGGCCCACGCCCTATGAACTGAGGCCAGGAAACAAGTCCTGGGGAGGGGCCAGGGGCCCGAGTTGGCAGAACCAGAGACGGTTCCCAGGGGTGAGGGCCCCACTGCCCGACAGAGCTGTGCCTGCTCATCCCACAGACGCGGCCCGCTGGGGCTGCCCAGCGCCCTACCCTGGCGATGTCGTTGATCAGCTCCTGGTATCTGTTCTTGGGGTCCACTGTCCCGAGCTCCGAGAGCTTCTTCAAGCCGGACTGAATCTTGTCCTTCTTCTCCTGCAGGCTGAGGTTACTGTCTTCCTTCACGGATTTCGACTTTTTCATCTTATCTGGCGTTTTGGCGTCACGGATGGCGCGTCTCTGCATGGCCCGCTGGTGCTCTGCTTCCTGGGGAGGACAGCAAAGGCCCTGGCGACTCCTCCACACTCCTCGAAACTGGAGTTGGAGCTGCACACCCGCACCCTGAGCCAGGCGCTTCCCAAACCCCACTCTGGAGGCAGAGGGGAACCACCCGGCCCTGACAACTGACAGAAACCTCAGGGAACTTTCCACCTAGATGAGACCCCTGCTATGAAATCACACGGCTTCTTGGGGCAGCTTTCCTGGCCCTTAGGGCACTGCCAGGAGACTAGACTTGGCTGGCTCTGGAGTCCCTTGCGTTTCCCTATCCCGTCTGGGGACACGAGGTGGTTCAACTCCATTGAGAGACCCCCATCTTCCAGAAAATCATCAAAATGACCACCACAAGGAAGGGGCAGCACTGCCCTTCATACCCCAGGCCTTCTAGAAAACACGGAGTGGCCCACTCGCCGCAGACACGGGGGTCTTAGAAAGGAGCTGCAGACAGCCAGGGGCGGGCTCGGAAGGGAGGCCCCACGAGAGCTCCCAGGCGACGTGGGCAGGCCCTGGGACGTCGCCCAGCACCGTCACGAGCAAATAAGTGAAGGACAAGCCTCCTGCCAAGTGAACCCACGTTCGCCCAGAGCGCGGGAAGCCTCTCCGAGCAGAGACGGCATCCTGAAACGTGGGGAAGGAAAAGGTCAGAAAACAAAGAAAGCTGAAGAGAAAGGCACTCAGGCCGCTGCGGGGCCAGCTGCCCCCCAGAGCAGCACACCGCGTGGGCACCAGGGCAAAGGCGCCAGAGCTGCGAAGTCCAGCCCCTACATCATGGCATGACAGGCATGGAAGAAAGAAAAGGCCCCTGGATTATTTAAAAACAAACAACCCCCCGCCGCAAAACCTGATTTCAAACACAGCCGGAAGAACAGGGTGGCCACCCCGACGCCGATTCGCCCAGGCTGACCGTGCTCAAGCCTCGCCTCTGCTTTCAAATGTGCTGGCGTCTTCCAAGGAAAGGGCCTCCCCTGACGCCAGCCCGGAGGCCTGCTGGGCTCGGCCCGCCAGCACCGTCCCGCCGCAGGGCTCCTGAGCTGCCGGGCCGCCCGGGTGGCATCTGTGTCTGCAGCAGCATCACTCGCTCCCCCACCCCTCAAGCCAGATGCCTCTTCTGACCACGCAGCAGCTCATCTTCTCTGCCCTTCTCTCTGCGCTAAGCATGGGTTGGCTCCTCTGAGTGACCCAGAGACACTTCTCAGTAACTGGTCGCCCCGACACTCAAGCGGTCACCTCCATGCTGAGACCCCAAACCTTTGCGGCCAAGGTGCCAGGGCCATTTTTTGACCTGTCGGGATGGGGACGTTTGCACCTGGACCTTGTGGGACTCAAACCGGAGGCTGCGCCCAGCACTCCCTTTCCACGTGCCCCCTTCCTCCCAGTGTCCACTCCTCTGAACACACATGCAAGTAAAGCGTGTCAGATGAGCCGCCTCCAGGTCAGGTTCCCCACACCACGTGCAGGCGGCCTCATCTCCACAGGCCTTGGCTCCCTCCCCTGTAAACGAGGATGCAGAGACTCACCCCCAGGCACAGTACAAGGAGCAAATGGAAGAACACAGGTCAAAGTCCCAGACCCCACGGGTTCTTAACAAGGACACTCTCCTCCTCTCCTGTTTCACACGTCCTTCTGGAACAAGCTGGAGCCGTGGCTACGCCTCTTTTCCCGCCCCCCCTGCACCTGCCCCCATCCAGTGTCCGTGATGCCCACAATCACAGCCTCTGAGCGCTAAGAATTCATGTGAAACAGTGGTTTGCCCGTAGCTCTGTGTGCGACCCGGAGGGTGTCCCCAGAGGCACCGCGAGTCCTACAGGCCGCCTCTGCCCCTGTGCTGGGCTCCTGTGAGAACTGCCACTTGCGGACAAGGGTGCCACGCTCACATTTTGCACGTGCGAAACAGGGTCTTGGACACGGAGCGGCGCACCCACCCCCTCCCTGCGCCGCGCCCCCCCACCGCGCCGCAACCCCTCCAGCTGAGCCTGGTCCTTGCCGTCACTCGGGCAGCACCGGCGCTGGGCCTGCGTCACTAGCGGCTCCCAGAGGCGCGGCATCCCTCCCTGAAGAAGGGCTTCGGGTTCGGGCTCTCAGCAGTTTGTTCTCCTGGTTCACTGCTCAGACTCGGCTTCGCCCACCCTGCTCTCGTGCCGTGTGGGTCGGCTCATAGCCTGCGCCATGTCCCGGGATGCCCTGCCCGGAGTGCCCATCTTACACGCACACCCACTCTGCCCATGCTGCCCAAGGGCTTCCGAGGCTCTGCTCTTCCCTAGCCTCCCTCCTGGGCCTGCACTGCCCAAACCACGGTGAGTTCTGAATGGCTCTCCGGCTGTCTCTGGCGGGGAGTCGCACTCCCCATCCGGATCCTGAGCCCGCCGAGTGCTTTCTTCTGCTACCAACACATCTGACAAATTCTGACCACAACAGCCAACAGATGTCCGGGCAGACTCACTGATTCTGAAAACGCACACACCTCATGCAGCTAAGGCTGGGAGCATCCCGCCCTAAAAACATCTAGACTTAGGACCCTAAAGCCGTGTCAGTAAGCCCCACCCACTGCCATTCTCCAATCCAGCCCCAGGGCCACCTCCAGCCATCTGTGCCCCTCCCAAGCCTGGCCTGGCCTGCACGCCCCCACCCCAGCACCTGCCCACGGGTGTGTGGCAAACCCGTTTTACCTGTTCACTGGTGGCTGGTGTTTCTAGGATTTCAGTCAAAGTCTCTCCTGGCTGGAACCGGATGACATCCACAATTAAACGTTTTGTGCTGAAAGGAGATGGGGGAGCGTCTAAATGTTATCGGGTGCTCCACTTTCCCTCAGTGGGCCTGAGCACCCACAGAACAAGCCCACCCCACCGAGAGCCCCCGGGCAGCTGCACACACGGCAGTCACAGTGCCGCCATATTCGCACCACTGTAACAGAGTGGACTCCAAGGTCGAGATTTCAAGATGGAAATTTCACTACAGTGTCTTATGAGAAAATGAAGGCTGGTAAATCTTGTGCCAAGTGTAACAAGCCAGGTACCCAGAATTAGAGCTGAAAAGGCCAAGATGGCCTTGTCCAGACTCTCCACCAAGGCCAACGGCTCTCTGGACCACGTGTCCTCCCGCAGCAGCACTCACTTCAGTAAGATGGTCCGAGCATCCATCTCTGCGTTCTCATCTCCCGGCACGTCGAACTTGTTGGTCAGAGTGAGAGAGACTTCTGTCTTAGCCAGCGCCTCCTTATTTGGGTCATTTAAATTGCCAGCGCTCTCGCCTACAGTTGGGGAGGGTGGAGTCAGTGTCAAAAGAGAGGAGCTGGTGGCGCAAGGGGTTAAGGCACAACCTATGAGGTGGTCCACAGCCACTGCAGCACGAGAGTTCAATCCCTGGCCAGGGAGCTACCCACAGGGTGCAGCAGACCTCTCCTGTCTCCCCGCTGCTCCCCTCAGCAGTGTATTTCGTCAGTCTGCCTGTTCTGCTCCCCACTCTGTCTCTGGTGAGTCCTCTCACCCTCCCGCTCATCTGGCCTGTACCCCAGCTCTTATATAAATAAATCAATAAATGTTAAAAAAAAAAAAAGAGAGGAGCTACTGACATAGCAAAAGCTCTCTCCATCTCAGGGGAGAAGCAGCCCACGTGCACACTGGCGGGGATGTGCACACACCAAATGCGGCATCGGGAAACCACCTCAGGCAGCGAAGGCAGTGGCCCCAGGTTAACCTCACTGGTGTTCATTTTGAAGCTATAACATTACAGCTCCCTCTCAGCTGCTCACGTTCAGAGTCCCCAGAGACTGGCGCCGCGCACACGTGCATCTAAAACAGCCGCAGCCCTGGACTCTGGCTCCTCATAGACCGGGGTCACATCCGTTCCCCCCACCGTACACCAAAGCTTGAATGGGCAGAGACGGAGGTGACAATGACAACACTCCTGTCGCCGCCCCCTCCCACCTTTGGGTCATCCTGCCCAGACATACCTATCAAGGACTCGATGGTGGGCACCTCTCCCAGGTCGTCCAAAAGCTCGTGGATTGGGTCATTGTGCTCTGGGGCGATGGCGTCCTGATGATCTAACAGCAGCTGCAGACAACACCCACGGTCGATTCCACCTGCACACCCAGCCTAACAGCCCCTGCCGGCCACAGGCTCCCCCAGCAATGCATGGGAGGTCAGAGGACAAGGCTCCTCCATTGAAGAACTGGCCAGCCAACGCCCAGCCAACTCGCCCACTGGGGTGGCAGGACACACAAGGCGCCCGCCCACTGAGTGGCACACGTGTGATGCGTGGAGCGGAAACACTCAGGTATAAGGACTCACCCCTAAGAGGCAACAAAACCGAGACTTCAAATGCAGTCATCGTCACGCCGTTATCAAGGCCCCTTCAAGAAACTCACATTCACACTTTGAGTGTTTTACTGGATAGTATCTCTTAATTCAGAGAAAAGTGCACCGGGTCACGCCGGCGTGATGTCAGGGGCACTGAGCAAAGCCTCTCATCTCCTATCTCCCCAGTGATGTCCTCGGAAGAGACGATGCCGGAAACAGCATTTACGTTTACCTGTTTCCTCATCCCTGGCTTGACATGCCCCCGAAGGGGAAAGAAGTGAATCATGCAAATGTGGGGGAAAGAAGAAGCGGACCCAAGGGAAAACTGAGGCTACGTGGAGGAAAAGCGCGTGTTCTAGATGAGGCGAGAAAAGTAACACGGAGGGCGAGGGGAGAATGAGGACCCACAGAGCCAAGTTTCGAGCCACCGGATTAGCGCTCACGGGGCTGCCGGCGCCCGCCCCAGGCATCCTGATTCAGAATCACAGTGGAAAACCTCATCGGTAATAATCTGCACAGGTCGCTGTGCAGGAAGGGGGCCCGGAGCTCACTGGAGAAACTCAGCGGTGGGTACTGTCAGGCACAATCCAAGGAAGCCGCGAGAAGGCGGCGGGGACGTGGCGCGAGGAGAGGAAGGGCCCGGAGGAAGGGACAGCGCGCGGCAGCCGGGCGGGCGGCGAGGACGGCGCGCGCGAGGGCGGACGCCCGGGCCACTTACCGTGTGGGTGTTGATGATTTCGCCGATGGAGATGTAGATGATTGGCTTGGTGAGCGTCACCAGGTCAGAGTACTCGTCCACATTGAACTTATCCTGAAGCTCAGGGACATCGCAGGCAGACTGGAAAAACCGTCTGAAAATAAGCACGAGGGCCAGACCCCAAGTGACACGTGTGAGAAGCCGGAGCAGCGTGTTCCAACAGTGGGCAGTCGAGATAGTTTAGTCACGAGAGAACCTGCTTGCCCACTCCTGGATGAGAGTCTGGCGACTTCTCTCATCACCTCTTACAGTTCTGCCACAAGAACTACTCGACCGTAATTGGAAACGGTCTGAACACCTGTGCTGTGGGGCGATTCAACTTCATGGCTAAGATGACGCCCTGAGCCCACACTGAATCTAATAAGCGAATATTAAAAGCCTCCTCTAGTCCTTTGATTCCACATAACGTGCCTAAGGCGTAACCATCACTTTTCCACTCACTTTGCCGACTCTATACGCAAAATACATTTTGCAGCTAAAAAATCCACTTTAGGACCTCCCTGGTGGCACACGGGGTGAAGCACAGCACTGTGAAGCTGTCCGTAGCCTCTGCAACATGAGTTCAATCCCCGGCCAGGGAGCTACCCACAGTGCGCAGCAGACCTCTCCTGTCTCCCTGCCGCTCCCCTCAGCAGTGGATTTCATCAGATCCACCTGTTCTGCTCCCCATCTGTCTCTGGTGGGTCCTCTCACTCCCCCGTACCTCTGGCCTGCACCCCAGTTCTTGTGCATAAATAAATTAATTAATTAATCTTTAAAAAAAAAGAAGCAGCCCCCGAAAGAAAATCCACTTTAGTACCCTGAGAGCTCAGAGCCTGTCAGCTGTGTAGCCGACGTGAGGGCCATGCAGGAAGATGGGGGTGTCGAGCCCGGTCTGCCCCCCAGACACAGAAACATGCCCACGGAATCCTCCAGGTGCTGTGGCCACTCTCCCCTCACCTGAATTTCTGGTAGGACTGGGAGAGATACTCGTTGATAATGCTGAGGTGGGCATTGTCCCCCAGGAACATCTTATTGGAAGCGGCGTGCTGGAGCATCTTGGCGATGGAGCCAAGGTTTCGGCGTTGGTCTGTGGTGAGCTGGCCTCCTGCCGACAGGTCGATGATGTCAAAGGCGTCGGGAGCAACGATGGCCGGGTTCATGTAGCGATAGTAAAGCAGGTTGCCGACAATCTGCGCAGACAGAGCAGAAAGGCGGCACTGGCACCACTCCCCGGGTCAGCCACAAGGCCTCTGCTGGCAGAGGAAACCAGACAGCACAGGCCTGTGGGGACAGCACAGCATCTCATGCATGCACACACCCACGCAGGCCCTCACTCAAGGCTGGAAACGCAAGAGGCCAAACAGCCTTTAGTTGGATGCAGAACAAAAGAAAACGAGGCCACAAGTGAAATTGAAAGAGCAGCTCCAAGGGTGAGGACGACACACCTGCCATCTGGTGCTGGGGTTTCAGGGCAGCGAATGGGCTGCTGTCCCCCGTGCACGCTCTGCTGTCACGTGGTGGGACCTTCTCCGAGGAGTCGGTCATCAGCGTGACTCACTGAGTACAGTGCCACCTGCCCACCCGCATCCTCACACCGCGGGGCCACGGCGGACCAGGCATGCCTCAGAAGGCAGCCACTCAGCACACTCAACACAGCGCTTCCACAGAAGACCCTGGCGCCTCATTCAGAAAAAAGGAAAATTAATTCACCTGAACAGAAAGTCTAGAATCGAGGCCTCACTGTAGGAAAGCACAGAACTAGGAGAGAGAAGAAACAAGCGTTCAGATTAAAAAAAGGAAGAGGAGGAGGCGGAGGAAGAGGAGCAGCAGCAGCAGCACAGGCAAGTCCAAGTTCCGCTGGAGCAGAGCCCCGGCTGCTGGCCACCCGGCCGCCGGCAGAGGGAGCAGCTCTCCAGCGAAAGACAGGCCAAAGACCTGCTCTGCCCGCCGACGTCCGCACAGCTGAAGTGGCGCAGGCGCGCATCGAGTGCTGTCATTCACGATTGACAGCCACCTGCAAAGGCTCAGGCAGTGGCCCGCTACGGCCAGGGTCAATGCTTGGGTGCTCCTGGCCTAAAATCGGGTCCATTTTCCAAGCCTGCTCCTCAGAGGGCCGCAGGAAGGGCCAGGACGTGCCTGCGTCGGGCACTCACCTTCAGCAGCTCATCCTCACCAGCGTCGGGGAACTTCTCGTGGAGCGAGTCCTTCAGCACTTTGGCAATGAAGCGCATCCCATAGCTGCAGGATGGAGGAGACATGGTGAGGAGGGCTGGGGAACACGGGCCCCAAGGGCAGACGAGTCTGGGGTCACAGGAGGGCACTCACGGGATTTTGTCCACAGAGCTGATGATGGCCAAGAGGAACTTGTCCGTCACACTCCTCATGTTCCTGATGGAGCTGTCCAGCCGTGTCCTGACTTCCTCGTGAGCCAGCGCCTGCTCAGGGGTCACATCGTAGGGCAGCTTGCTGGGAAAGCAGAATGCCCCCGACTATGTTAGCTCAGCAGCCGGGACAGGCCTGAGGCAGAGCCATGACAAACAAAAATACAAACAGAAACACCCAGAGGGAGCAGGGAGCCTGCTCTGCACCACAGTCAACAGCGGGACTGGGATGTGAGCTCGACCCTCAGTTGTGACTGGGCCTTCCCAGGGTGCCAGCGCTGGGCCAGGCGCTGGGGTCAAGGTGTGGGAGACCTGGCAGTCCGGTGGGAGCCACCACAGATATCTGGACACACACACACTTTGCTGTGACAGTGAGCAGAAGAGCTAGGGCCCCAGAGGAGAGGCCTCACTCGGGCTGGAGGACTCCAAGGAGACTTCCAGGAGGAAGGGGCAACTGAACACAGTAAGAAGGGAGAAGAAGGGCCTTCCAGGAAGGAAGACAACATTCAAAGGCAGGGGGGAGAGGGAAATGAGGGTGGGAGCGCAACGGGGGGCGGGGGGACAGGTGAGCATGAACACTCTGTAAGGCTCCCGTATGTGGTAAACAGAACGCTAAGCAGGCTGGCATTCCCAGAAGCCAGGCAGAGCATCTAAGGATAGGCGGTTGGGTTTCCAGAAGACAAGTCCCCCCAAGCGGGATGAGGTGGGGGGCAGCACTCATGAGATGGGGCTCTAGGCTTCATGTGGGCAGTGACAAGGGCGTGGCTGGAGCCCCACAGCAGGGGCCGAGGGCAGATCCCAGAGCTGTTAAGGAGACATGATGGCAGGGACTTGGTGACCCTGATGCTGTGAGGCGGGCGACAGTCACATACAGAAATTAGAGAGACCTGAGCCACTGGGGAGACAGCATGAGCCTGCATTTGGAGGGCCTCAGAAGCAGCCCACAAGGCCCTCTCAACAGCTCAGGAACCTTTGGAGGCTTTATGAAGGGGCTCCACTTTCGAAAGCTGGAGCTAATCTTGAGGCGGTTACAAACAAGGTCTTCAAGTACATGTCCAAATGGTGGCTTTGCAGAGAAGCCACTGCAGTCTGATGAACTCTGGGCTGCAACTCGCCGTGGAAGGGATGGGCCTGGGCACAGCAGGCCTGGAACGACCAGCACCGGTTACCCTCGCCCAACTGCCCAGAGTCAGAAACGGGGCACTGGCCCAAACAGTGCCCACCACTCCGGGCATGCTGAGCTGAGCAGTATGGAAGGCATGGCAGGGCGCGCACACTGGCGAGCGGGGATTCTGACGGCATGCAGGGCATGCTGGGACAGACTGGTGAAAGGCACCCAGTGCAAATTTTTAAAATAAAAATGCTTTAAAAAAAAAGAAATTAGGGCCTCCCCGGTGGCGCAGCGGTTGAGCGCTGGGTTGCGAAGCTGCCTGCAGCCTCTGCAGCGCCGGTTCGATCCCCAGATGCTCCCCGGCTACCGGAGGAGGGTCCCGCATGGTGCACAGCCCTCTCCTGCCGCCCGCTGCTCCCCTCAGCAGTGCACTTCGGTTCTTCTGCCTGCTCTGCTCCCCGCTCTGGCTCTGGTGAATTCTCTCACCCTCCCGCGCTTCTGACTCTACCCAGTGCTTGTATAAATAAATAAATCTTTTTTTTTTTTTTAAAGATTTATTTATTTATTTATACAAGCACTGGGGACAGTCAGAAGCGCGGGAGGGTGAGAAAATTCACCAGAGCCAGAGCGGGGAGCAGAGCAGGCAGAAGGACCGAAGGACACTGCTGAGGGGAGCAGCGGGCGGCAGGAGAGGGCTGCGCGCCATGTGGGACCCTCCTCCGGTGGCCGGGGAGCAGCCGGGGATCGAACCGGCACCGCCGAGGCTGCGGGCAGCTTCGCAACCCAGCGCTCAACCGCTGCGCCACCGGGGAGGCCCTAAATGAATAAATCTTTAAAAAAAAAAAAAGAAATTAAAACTGAGAGGATCACACCAGGAGACACTGGAGCCAGAAGACACTGACAGGGAAACAGCGGCTCTGCTAGGACGTGTCCACACTCCATCAGAGGAGTCAAGGCCAGGAGGGGCGGAGAGTCAGAAAGGAACTGCACGGGACTGGGCTCTGGTTCTTTCGGAAAGGCCCAGAAGTAGTGAGGGTTACTGTGGATTATCTGGGTGGCCTTAGTCCAGCCAGAGTCCTCAGAAGAGAGGGGCAGACAGTAAGGGGCCGCACAGGCAGGAGCACCTCCAGAGGTAGGCTTTCCCCTGCGCCTCCAGGGGGAGCAGGCCTGCCAACGCCTGGATTTCACCCACTGACGCCATCTTTGGATTTTCTGGCCTGCAGAACTGTGAGAGAATACAGCTTTCTGGCCTTAAGCAACCCAACTTGAGCTCCTCTGGCACAGGAGCAACAGGAAGCGGGAGGGGCAGGCAGGGAGTGGCTCCATCTACTGCGGCGGCTGACGCCCCTGGGCAGGTGGCCAGCGAACCCGGGAAACTGGCAAAAGCATCGTGTTGGGAGAAAACGGCCCGTGGAGCCGTGTTCAAGAGTGCGGCCCACTGCAGGGCTGGTGAGTTACAGGCTGGAGTCTTCTCCGGCACCACAGAAGCCAGGACCTCTAGGTTCGCATGCACACGCTGGGGCGGGAGTGCTAACACGTGGTGGTGGCCAGAGAACCGAAGACTAACTGTCTATGTTTCTTTTAATCTTTTCTTTTTTTTTTTAATTTCTAAGGCTTTTGAGGGAAATACTCCCCTGGGGTGTGGAGGCCCCAGGGTGCTGAGAGTTTGGCTGACACTCAAAGATCGTGCGCTCACAGCAGCCTGGGCACCGCCCCCTATCCCCACCTCCCAGCTCTCGGACTGGAAAAATGAGCTAACGTCAATTTCCATGTTATGATTAAAAGAACAAACACTGCTCTGAGAGCCAGCTCGGGAAACACTCCTGAGTTGCCGACAGGCGCGGTGGCCGAGGCTGACTGATGGGCAGCGGAGGGCACAGGCAGTGCCCGTGGTAGGGCCGCACACCTGGCAGCCAGCACCTGACCCGCCTGCTGTCACGTGCTGCTGCTGTTGGGCACTTCGGGGAGCAAGCCTTGAGGGTGCAGGTCAAAGCAAAGACAGACTTTTCCTCAGCCCAGCCATGAGTGACTCCTGGTCAGTGACTCCTGCCTCAACCTCACTGAGGCAGGCCAGCAGCCAAATGAGCCCAACAGGAACGAGCCTTCTCCAGGAGCCAGCAGAATGCTCTGCGCTCTGTGGAGGGCACTCCTGCCCTCGCCTGCCCAGCCAGGCGTCCAGGGACCTGGAAAGGCACCGCCAGAGCGCAGCAATTCAGCGTGGACTGGTGCCCACCTAGGAACCCAGCCAAGACAGGACAAGTCACCACGCGGCTTCCTGGGGGTACGGCGCCATGGCCCGCTGTGATAACGTGCACAGAAAGGCATGCTGGCCCACGCAGGTGAGGGGCAGGTGTCGGCGCCCACCAACTCTGAGCACGGGCAGGAGGTCTACTGTTCCTGAGACCCAGAGAACTCCCCGCACAGCCTGGCCTAGTGAGCAGGAAGGAAAAGCCACCACAGATGAGGCATCCACGTCCCACACCCACCCTCTCTGTCCTCACCCAAGCCAGACACAGCCAGACCCATCTGGCTCTCTGACCTGTATTTTTCCTGTGTTACTACCCGGCCACCCACGGTCCACTGACGCTTTTGCTTCAAAGTGTCCCTGTGGCTCAAGCATAGTCCTGGCACAGCAACCTCCCGACCAAGGTTCCTCTGGTTAGTCTGGCCCTCAGGACTCAAGAGACTCACTGTTCACCCCACCTCCCCTCCACTTCCCCCAACCAGACACAGTGACCCCACTCAGACCTCTACAAACCTTCGTCCCAGCCCAAGCAGTTCCTGGACCGTGTCCAGTTAGCACCTGGCTGCCCTACTCCGTCAGCACCACACAGGGACACCCTGCTGCACAAGCTGGTCCCTCCTCCTCCAGGAGAGGCCCCAACCCACTCACTGGCAGCTCGGGGCCCTCCATTCCAGCTCCCACGAAGCCCAGGGCTCCATGTGGGGGTCTTCACTTTCCTGGGCCCCTGCACTGAGCAGCGGACATGGCGCGGCCACCTCTCAATCCCTGTGTCATGGCGTATGTGTGACAGAGCCTTGCACACAGTAAGGACTGAATGCTCACTAAGTAAGTGACTGTACTTCCATGTTAACAAGTTAAAGAGAGTGCTAAGGAAAAACTATTAGAACAATTAGTTTGTAAATCAAAAGTTAACTTTAAAAAAAGGAGGTGGGCCTCCCCGGTGGCGCAGCGGTTGAGCGCTGGGTTGCGAAGCTGCCCGCAGCCTCTGCAGCGCCGGTTCGATCCCCGGCTGCTACCCGGCCACCGGAGGAGGGTCCCATATGGCCCGCGGACCTCTCCTGACGCCCGCTGCTCCCCTCAGCAGTGTACTTTGGTCCTTCTGCCTGCTCTGCTCCCCGCTCTGGCTCTCGTGGATTCTCTCACCCTCCCGCACTTCTGACTGTACCTAGTGCTTGTATAAATAAAAAAAATAAATAAATCTTTAAAAATAAATAAATAAATAAAATAAAAAAGGGAGGTTTTTTTTTTTGATTGCTGAGTAATATTCCATTGTGCATATGGACCACATCTTCTTGATCTAGGCATATGTTTTTGGGCATTAAACCAGAAACACACTACTGCGCGGGGTGGGGGTTAGGGGGGTGTTCGGAATAGGGTCAAAACAAGGAGTGTGGGAATTGTATGGGGAATATAACCAAGATGAAAATGCATGCATTGTGCAAAATTAAAAATGATGTAAAAAAAGAAAAAAGAAAAGGAGAAGGAAAATACTACACAGGACAGAAAATGGTGGCTTTACCTTGCCTCTCCTGTTTGAGATTCCATCTGATTAACCCAAGATTTGTAAATATCCACAGGGTCAGTTTTGATGTTGAGATATTTGTCATCCATAATCTCCTTGACAACCGGCGCTAAGATCTGTCTCAGGGCATTCTGGCCCCGGGCACCACGGTTGAAACTTACAACCATCTTTATAACTGTAGGATTTCCTGTCACAATCTCTTGAATCTGATCCACTTTCGACCTATAAAACATAGAAACAAATCCGATTAAATCAGGAACCTGTGGACTTAAAGAACCCACCCCCAGCAGGCAGAAGCTGGAAGGAGCAAGGGGCCTGCCCCTTCTGTTGCAGCGAACTCAATCTTGGGAGTGGGATTAGGTTCTTTTTTTAAAAAAAAAAAAGATTTATTTATTTATACGAGCATTGGGTAAATGGTCAGAAGCGCAGGAGGGTGAGAGAATTCACCAGAGCCAGAGTGGGGAGCAGAACAGGCAGACTGATGAAGTACACTGCTGAGGGGAGCAGCGGGTGCGGCAGGAGAGGTCTGCGCACCATGTGGGACCCTTGCCGGCGGCCAGGGATCAAACCGGCGCTGCAGAGGCTGCGGGCAGCTTCACAGCCCAGCGCTCAACCACTGCACCACCAAGGGAGGCCTGGGATTAGGTTCTTTATTAGATAAAAATGTAGCATCTTTATGACCAGGCCAGCTTTAAAAAATGTTCAGCGTTTGAGCACTGGGCTGCGAAGCTGCCCGCAGCCTCTGCAGCGCCGGTTCAATCACAGCCGCCTGCGAGGGTCCCACATGGCGCGCAGACCTCTCCTGCCGCCCGCTGCTCCCCTCAGCAGTGTCCTTCGTCAGTCTGCCTGCTCTGCTCCCCACTCTGGCGAATCCTCTCACCCTCCCATGCTTCTGACTGTACCCAGTGCTTGTATAAATAAATAAATGAATCTAAAAAAAAAAAAAGAATCATTCTAAAATTGCTTTAGCAGATCTCTTATTCTGTCACCTTCCAGAAACCATGACACTTTTGGCAGACACTAAAGAGCAGATGCTGTTTCACACAAGCCACAGTGCTCCCTGGAGTCAGGAAGGGCAGGCAGGCCTCTTTCAAAGCAGATGGCCCTACTTGATTTCCTCCTGGAGCGCCGTCTTGAAGAGCCGGAGCAGAAGGTACTCCTCCCGCTGGTTAGACGCGTAGTTGTAGAGCGTGAAGATCACGGAGTCCATGAACTTGGTGGACTTGTTTTGCGGCATCTGGAAAATCAGCTTGGCCAGATAGGTGGGATTGGTCTGAAATAAAACCAAGGGGTGAGAACCTTCTAGGTGACATGAAGGCTGGCAAAATTATTCAAATTTATTTCTACTTGAAGGATTAGCATGCACAAAACTAACAAGGAAAAATAACAGCCCTTTGTTCGTTCCGCAGAGGGTAAGGGAACCCTTCCCCAGAGATGCAGGCATTTTAATGGAAAAGGCACCAGCCCAGCTTTCCAGCCCCGCCCCGGAGCCGCCCACCTGCAGTAAGTAGAACAGGTGCTGGTAGGCCTCCAGCTTCTCCCGCTTCTCCTTGCTCAGTGCCTTGAGACCCCCCTTCTGCTTGTTGAGCATCATCATGTCAGATAGCTGCTCTTTGTTTTTTTTGGTGAGTTTTTTACTGTGGGAAACCACATCCTGTAAAAACAAAACAAAAAAACAAAACACCAATAAGTACAAACTGGGCATTGTGGAAAGGGGCGTTTTTAGCCCCCACAGACCTGCACAAAAGGCCGAGGCCCTGGCAGCTGTCACTCAGCGTTCCTTCGCCACACCCTGTCCCGGAGCAGAGTGAAGCCCAGCCCCACCTCCACCTTCCAAAAATCTCCTTGGATTTGAGAAACCAACTTCTAGGAATGGATCTTAAAAACAAAATCCTAAGTACAAGGAGCACTACGTGTATGTTGAGATGTGAATTGCACTGTTATTTGTAATAACAAAAACTTTGAAAGCAAGCTGAATGTCAAAAGTTGAGGGAAAGAGTGAATTGGTGGAGGAAACTCTATGGGGACTACACCTTGGGGTGGGGGAAGCAAACATTGTTTAAAAATGAACAATGGGGCCTCCTCCCTGGTGGCGCAGCGGGTTGAGCGCAGCGCTGTGAAGCTGTCTGCAGCCTCTGCAGTGCGGGTTCAATTCCCGGCCGGGCAGGGAGATTCCCACATGGTGCAGCAGACCTCTCCTGCCTTGCCTGTTGCTCCCCTCCCTCAGCAGTGCTTTCCGTCCGTCTGCCTGTTCTGTTTCCCGCTCTGTCTCTGGTGAATCCTCTCACCCTCCCGCGCATCTGGCCTGTACCCCGGTTCTTGTATAAATAAATAAATAAATATGAAAAAAAACAATGATATAAAATATATATAAATAATTTTTTAAAAAAGGAAATAAAACTAAAACAATCAAAAGAAAAAAAGAAGTTGAGGAGGAAAAAAGGAGAAAAAGGAGGTAAGTCACAGAATGAATTCTTATGCTATCATTAAAAATACCTGTAACAGCACCGCAAGGAAAGCCTTCACCTTCTAACATTAAAAAACGTAGAAAACACAATGACTGTGGTGACTGGAGCTAAGGGCTGGCTCCTCTATTCAAAATTCTGTCTACGAAGCTGTTCCATTTCTAAATAACTTCTTTACAAATATGGAGAGCAGCAGCTGAGAGGGAAACTGGCCTCCACCGGCCCGCCGGCCAGAGAGGGGAAGCAAAGCAGGAGAAAGCGCCCTGGGGTCCCGCCGGGCCCTGAGCCACACCTGCAGCGTGATTTTATTTTTCACGAGCAGACCAATCTTGATGTCCATGAGATTGAGGTCGTTCTCCTGCTGCTGGTTAGAGCGAATGAGGGTGATGACCTCCTCCCGCATCTTCATGAGATCAAGCTCCTCCTGAAAATCCTGGTCGCTCTGGTCAAGCAGGTGGACGAACTTCCGGACCACAATCATGGGGGGGTCCTCGGCGCTGACTGACAGAGAGAAAGGAAGCATCAGCCAAAGAACAAGCCACAGGGAACAGTTCTAGGTCCTGGGAAGAGCTGGCTTTGGCTTGTAAAAAGCAGCTCTAGTCACACGTGAGCTGTTCATTTCTGAGACGCGCAAACACCCGCTGAGCGCGGCTTCCCGGTCTCGCTCTCGCTGTGCCGACAAAGGTGAACAGGGCAGCGACGGGACATCCAGACAGGTTAGCAAGGGGCGACACCCCACTCAGCGCCTTGCCCCCCAAACACTGCCTTAGGGACAGAGAGAGATTCATGGCCTCCCCGCCGCGGTCTCGACTCTTCTCGGCGGGGCCACTCTACTCACTGAGGGTCTTGTAGTCGTCACGCGCCTTGTTTGCCCGAATAAAGGCCTGGATTTTGATAATGTCATTTATCTAAGGAACAACAGATGAAGAAATGCTTTTGTTTATCTGTCCACCAAGGAGAAGCACAACTGACCCCACTGGTCCCCAGGGCACCTACGTGGTCCCGGAAGTACTGCAGGCGGTCTCTGTAGCGCTTCCTCGCTTGATGCATCCTCGCCAGGGACTGGATCTGTGGAACGGGGGCCCGGGATGAGGCAACGCCCCTGCGCACTCGCGCGCCCACACCAAAAAGCCGCCCGCTACCTACCTTGACCACTTCGTCTTTATGCGCGCGCAGGTAAGCCAGGCGGTCCTGATAGGCCTTCTTCTGCTTGTAGCCTCTCCACTGCGACTGAAACCGCCAAACACGACAGTCGAAACATTACTCCCCGAGGGCTGGAGCAAGGTGGAAGTCTCATCGTGCCAGATTACCCAAGCGCCATCCACGATGAAGCCTCACGACAGCGGGACGGCCCGGCTGCGCCCCACCAGGCGCCCCAGCTAGCCCGCCCGACAGCAGCTCAGCCCTACACAGCTCCACACGCAGCCGCGAGGACGCTCACTGGCTCCTCAGCGCACATCAGGCATGAAGCGTCCAGCGCCCTCCAGTGACAGCGCTGCCCAACACATTCAGGGCACGGCCAACGAGAAGGGTGTTACTCGGGGCTGTACCGCAGTCTCGCCTGAACTTGGAGCCCCCCAGAACCTGCCTCCAACGTCCCGCGAGCTCTCTGTTGGCAGATGAGGAAGCAGGCTCCGCCAGCCGCAGTCCGGAACCCCAATCCGTAACCAGGAATCCTCCCTGCGGCAGCGGCTACGCTATCACTGAGCTACACTACTGCTGTTTCCTCAAGGTTCAGTTCTGACAAAGCGATAGCCACGGATGACAATGAGGTGCCCAGAGGTGCCCCAGCGTGGCCCACGCGCCACTTGACACCACCCAGCAGCGGTGACTGTACGGGGCCCAGAGCAGGACAGCGAGCAGATGGCAAAGAGCACACGGACACACGGTCATCCAAGCTGTTTATTGCCCTGCCTAGAAGCCCACGCGCTGCCTCTACAACAGGCTCTGAAATACCTGGATGCAGGTGATGGCTGGGATTTGCTTCTTCAGGAAATTCATCCGGGATCGGAATTCCTGGCGAACTAAGTAGCCACGGCAGCAGGCCTGCAGCTTGGTGATCAGGCCCTCATTGGCCAGCCAGAGCTGTTCCCGGTTGTATGCGGCCGTCACCCCTGAGATGGAGCTCTGGAAAGGCATCAGTCATGTCAGGCAACGCACACCGGGATGGACTCAAGGACACCCACCACCCGCGGCGCCAGACCAGCCCTCGCTCTGCTGCTTCCTGGGCCTGCACGCGGGCTGTAGCTGGCAAATGGGAATGAGACTGTAGCTCACTCTTTCAAGGCCAGGTTCTCACAACGGGGAAAGGTCACGAATTGGGCCTCCCTGGTGGCGCAGGGTTATGTCTCAGTGTTATCAAGCTATTGCCAGCCTCTGTGGCCTGCGTTCGATCCCTGCCCAGGGAGCTGACCCACAGGGCGCAGCAGACCTCTTCTGTCTCCCCGCTGTTCCCCTCAGCAGTGGATTTCCATGGATCCGCCTGTTCTACTCCCCACTCTGTCTGTGGGGAATCCTCTTACCTCCCCACAACACCTGTGGCCTGCATCCCAGCTCTTGTATATATAAATAAATAAAATAAATCTAAAAAAGCCCTCACAAACACAGACCTCCTCTCCTGTTATCCACCACATTGCCTCCTTTACCCACCCCCCCATGGAACCCCAGCTGTGCCAGGTAGCCTGGGGTCACCAGTGACCAGGGGCAGTGTCCCACAGTGGAAGGCACTGCAGCGGGCTGGCTGGGTGGCAGGTGGGCTTAGCATCAGGGCCACATGGAGACCCTGACATCCAGCAGATGCCCAAGAGGAAAGAAGCCTCGGCCTCCTTTCAGAAAAGCGGGAAGGTGAGCACCACAGCATGAGGAGGGACTGGCAGGTGACCTGCTGCTGCGGGTACTCAAGGACAGGCCTGGCCCGGCAGGACTGCGGGTCAATGGGGACAGTGTTGCCCGCTCCGTGGGGCTCGCGAGTTCAGTTTCAGGGCTGCCACGCTTGCAGCTGCCAGGCTGCGTGGGCTGAAAGCTGGTGTCCAGTCTGCAGGGAGAACTGCAGGAAAGCAATACCCCCGAGTCCAGGTGCAGAGCTAACTCTGGCTAACCGTCCCCTCCTGCTCTGGGGAGAACTGCAGGAAAGCCCCTCCTTCTACTTCCCGCCTGAACGGCTAACCTGATGGCTCGGGCGCCAAACCCTTGGCAACCTTGAGAACGGAAGCCGGAGCTGAGAATGGGGGGCAGAAGAGGAGGCCTGGGACCCGGCTAGCACCCCGCCCCAGGCTTGCCACCCAGAGCCGTGCTGCGAGAGCACAGAGCACTCCCTCACGCGATCTGCGCCGGCTCCCACCTGGCGGCAGGACCTGGCACAGAGAGCCTGGCGGTGAGGAGAGGGACCGAGGCCCGGAGAACACGAGTGGGGAATCACAGGCACAAAGCCTCAGGGGGACGCGATCACGCAGGAAGAACAGAGCGGAAGAGAAAGGGGCCCGGGAACCCCAGTGAAACACAACAGAGGGAGAAGGAAGGAGGGCGGCGAGGGCGAGGCATGCCCGGAAGCAGGAGACCCGCAGCGGAGGGCCAAGAGCGGAGGCGTAAGTAGGGAACAGAGGAGTCAAAAACGACACGTCTCCTCTCCGCGTGGCAATGAAGGCGGCTGGTAAAGTATAAAACAAGTAGCTCAGCAAGGCAGGCTGGGAAGCCGGGCTGCGGGAGCTGGCGGTGACCGGCCTGGAGACCATGGCCTGCAGACGGTGCTGCCACCGAGGTCTTCCCGACCCCTGGCGAACTTCACCAGGGGTCGACCGTTCAGTGCACGCAGCCCAGCACTGGGGCCCTTCCAGTGCTCGCGGCCCAGCCAGGCCTGAGCTGCAGAACCAGCAGGGCACGTACAGACAGCGCAGGTGAGACTGAAGTTCAAGTCCCAGTTGGTTCAATTTTAAATGAATAGAAAGTTCTTTGGGAGCTTCAAGGATGATGGGAGGGGAGAGAAAAGAGAACAGAAAGGACCCCCAGAGGAGGCGACACATGCCTGGGTGGGCCTGGGAAGAGAGAATTTTGAAAGAGGCAGACGGCAGGGCGGGGCATCTTGGGACAGCAGAGATGTCACCACTGCTTAGATGAGCGCCTGCCGTTGGGGCAGAGGAACAGCATCAGCAAATACACGGGGGCGAGGGAGCCCTTTAGCAGTGGCTCTAGAATACGCTGACCTCACCCAGAAGTGCCGGTCACGCACTGCCGAGACAGCGCAGTGTGGTGTTGGGGTGCAGTCAGGAGCGAGACCCAAGAGCGGTGACCGGGAGACTGACAGTGGCTGCAGCTGCATCTAGTGAGAGCTGGAGGAACTGTCCCCCTTGTCGTTCCTGGGTCATCCAAGTTCTCCTTAATCAGTGTGAGCTTCACCTGACTTGATGCCACAGTCCAGACTCTTACTGAGACTTAGGCCTTTAGCCACACCCCAACCACTGGGGGGACACGGCTGCCCTGTGGCTCAGCCCGCAGCCCTCCCTAGCGGAGGGGTCCCGACAGCACACCCGATTCTCCGAGCATCACGCTAGCACGCTCCTCTCAGCCGCACCTGGAGAACGGAGCCTACCTGGATCTCCTCCCGGGAAAGCTGCATGGAATTCTGCACGAAGTCTGGCGGTTCGTCCCATCCTCCTTCCTGGGTCTGCAGATTGTGGTAGTAATAATACCCACCTTTCACCCAGTGCTTCACCCACTTGCTGCTGTTATCTCCTGGCAGAAACAAGGGCAGATGAGAGAAGCCCAGAGCGCAGCGCCCACTCACACGCCTGGCACGCCAGCTCAGAATGAACACCCTAGGTGAGGGCCCCAAACACCTGCCCTTGGGTCGAGGACTCTAGAGTCACGGAGGCGTTGCAAGGGACAATACCCTGGAGTCCAGGTGCAGAGCTAACCCCGGCTAACCATCCCCTCCTAAGCCTACGCCCGAGTCCCTGCGTGTCAGCAACTTCCTGTGGAAGACATGTGCGCGCTCAGCATCTGCAGGGAAAACTCTCCCTGTAGAGAGCACCGAGCTCCAGACACCCTGGGACAAACAGGCAGATACGCCAATCCTTCCCACATTTTCAGAAAATTGACCTTTTTAACATACCTGCCCTCGAGGAGAAAAAATATTTTAAGAATACGGGCGCGATCCCCGTGGGGTCCTTAATGAGCCTCGGCGCTGTCCTACCCTGAGTCTCTCCCTGCAGCTTGGCCCTGCCCTCCGCTGCGCTCCTCATCGGTCACACGCGCACCCTCAGGGCTGCGCTGTTTCCCTGTAAGTCACCTGCCGCCAGTCTTTTCTTCTTGGCTTCTGCAAGGTCACTCTGGTAGGTCTCGCCACACTCGGGGATGACGCCGTACAGGCCCACATCAGGGGAGCGCAGGGCACTGAGGGTTCTGCCAACGTCCCCACTGTCCACCGCCTCGTTAATGGCGAAGATTCCTAAGGCGACTGTCCCAGAACAGATGGGGTCCTTTAGAAAGAGCCCACCTTCACCTGGACCCCCCGCACTCAGCCCCACCTCCTGGGAAACCGTGTGCCCCAGATCTCTCCACCTTGGGCAAGCAACAGGTACGTACACTTCTGTGCCTCCTGGGTGTCTTTGTTAGACTGCCAGACCCCGCCTTGGATTTCATCCAGCCACAGCACAGCCGACTCATCCTGGGTTTCCTGCACACCGTTCAAAGCAAACAACGTCAGGGTCCTGAAAGCAGGGCCCACGAGAGGAAGGCAGCGGGGACTCAATCGGACAGACATTAATGGTATGACCACGGTCACGTAAGGAGGTGACTACACAGTACTTTTTAGAGAGCCTCTTTTGCCAATGATATGCAGAGTAAACACTGTTTCAGCGCTTTCAAGACTGCGTTTAAAGCCAGCGATTTCTCTCGGAGGCAGAGATTTACAAATCTGTACAACACACCGGTGAAGGTAAGGCCCGCAGGTGAGCTTTCTGTTTGCCAGGGTATGTTTTATTAACTTCACCTCTATATCGGCTATAGATCCAGTCAGTGTTTCTGTTTCTTTTCCTTTCTCCATGCCTCTGGGACTCCTGTTGCACACATATTGGCCCCACACATGTTTAAAGAAAAACGCCAACCCTCTGCATGGCCTTCCAAAACGCAGACGAGAAAGGAACACTTCCAGGTTCATTTAAGGAGGCCTGGATGATCCTGACGCCAAAGCCAGATACAAAGTGAGCTGCACCGTACGAGAAAACCACAGGTCAAATTGATACTGAGGTTTGCTGGCTAAATTTGGAACACAGAGAGTTATTTTTAAAACCATTCCCAAGATGGCTCGGAGGAACTCAGAAGCTAAGGGGAGGCCTCGGAAGAGACACCCCCACCTAATGTGCAGCCATGAGGCTGGGCCTGGATGTGTCCAGCTGATCTTTCTCTAAACCTCCCACCCAGCCACCTTTCACGAAGGCTGGAAAGTTATCCCACAGCAAGAGGAAAAGCTCCCACCTCTCGTCACGTCCTCTAAGCCTGCCCTCTGCGCCTGACGCGGGCAGCAGGCTGGGAGCACTGGCAGGTCAGGTCCTCGGCCTGCCTCCTCTTTTAGACACGGCGCCACCCGGTCCCGCTCCCAGAGCCCGCTCTGCCACCAGTCAGATGCCAGACGCCTCTGGACTCATGTGGCAGCAAGAACAAAACACCGACCCACAGAGTCACCGCAACCCGGTCCCAGAATAGATTCTGAGCCAGCAGAAAAAGAGTTAACACTGTGTTCTCAAATGACTCTCAAGTGCTCTAATGATCAGCAAAAACTGGGGCGCTCAGGTCCAATAAGTTATCAAGAAGAGACTTCTATTTACAACTTCCTCCAGCCATCAGCGCCTCACTGATCTCGCTTTCCCAGCACAACACAGGCGCGGACTCAACCCTCACAAGCAAACATTCTGCATAACGTACCTCTTGAAGGAAACCGGGTACTCGCGGTATTGACGTGATTAGGACGCAGTCACGCCACCTCCTCACGGCAAGGCACTCCAAGGAGACCCGTGGCCCCTCCACCCTAAGCCAGACTCCCAGTGCCCGCGCGGCTCCTGCCCACCAAAGCTCAGCCACACGAAAGCCTGGTCTGTTTTCTACCTTTGGCTTCCCAGAAAGGATCCGACACCCCACACCCCCAAACTAAGAATTTCCTTGCGAGCACTTCTGCTTGCTGCAAGAATCTCATGCAGACATCTAAGTCATAAAAAAAGAAACAAAAAAGGCTGTGGCTCCCCCTTACCTAGCTGGCATTAGTTGAGAAGCCTTGAAAGGAGGTCAATGACAATCAGGAACAGAGTTATGCCCTCATCGTGAAACTACCAGACAAGGCAACTCCCCACACATCGCAACATGACAGCAAGAGGAAGGAATTTTGTCCATTTCTTAACAAACCAGCTGGGAGGCAAGGACAGGACCCCAAGACATGCCACTCTGGCCTTAGGATTTCAGCCACGCCCCACTTCCCGATGGGCTGCGTTCTGAGGAACGCACTGCCCGTTGGCTCCGTCACTACACAGACACTTACAGCATGACCTGCAGCGCACCTGGGTGCATGGGTGCCTTCTGGGGCCGCCCGGGGCCCGCGTCCCAGATGGCAGGGCAAACGTCTAGTTACAGGGCATCTGCTCACTGTCATGAGCCAGCCTCTCCCGTCCCATGAGTTCCTTCCTCTCCTTGAGGTCACAGGCCCGAACCCATTCTTCAGCTCGCAACACAGACCCCCATTTTGCCTCACCGTCCCCGGAATCCACAGACATGTAGAATTAAATTTGGAGTTTTTCTCCTATGAATCTGTATGATGTTGCTTATCTGACCATCCCCAGAAGAACCCAGGGGGGTAAGGGAAAAATCTCTCCTCTCTGACAGATGCAAAACAAACTTTTTAAAAGCAGTGTGATTGGTAGCCACAAGGTGGTGACAGCCCCCGCCCATCAGCTCACGAACGGCCACCCCACAAGGCACAGAGGGACGTGCCTTGGCGATAAAGAGAGGACGCGCTGGCACCCGACTTCCACACACCAGCTGAGTGGATGCAGCGGTCACAAAGGACACGTGCCGTATGACTGTCCTGCGTGAAGAGTCAGAATACGTAAAGCCACAGGCAGAAAGCAGAGTGACGGCTACAAGGGTGGGGAGGCTGAGGGAGCTGAAATCACTGCTAACAGGGACTGGCTCGCTGTTGGGGATGAGGAAAATGTTCTCAGGTTGACTGTGGTGATGCTCGCATAATTCTGTGAGGAAACTAAGATTCACTGAATTGGACACTTTAAAATGGTTCACTATGTGGCATGTGCCTTAGCAAAAAAAGTTATCACGTTATCAACTAAATTTTAACGCATGTATTTATTCCCTATGGCCCACAAATTCTGCTACTAGAGGTACATGAAATGCATTTACCGAAAGACAGGTATGAGGACATTCACAGACGCACTATTTGCAACAGTCAAAAGTGAGGACCTCCTTGATAGGCCAGGAGCTACCCACAGGGCCCAGCAGACCTCTCCTGCCTCACCCGCTGCTCCCCTCAGCAGTGGATTTCAGTCAGTCTGGCTGTTCTGTTCCCCACTCTGTCTCTGGTGGGTCCTCTCACCCCCTGCACCTCTGGCCTGCACCCCAGCTCTTGTATGCATCAAGAAACAAATCTTTAAAAAAAAAAGTGAGAAATGACCGAAAATTCCCTGACAATAGACTCTCTAAGCCACAGCGGAGGAGCACAGACGGCAAGAACGAGCGCGCCGTGGCCCCATGGAGTCGTGGACGGACTTCCCTGGCACCGGGCTGGGTGAAAGACGCCAAATGCAAAAGATATCACTTCAGGGCCTCCCCGGTGGCGCAGCGGTTGAGCGCTGGGTTGCGAGGCTGCCCACAGCCTCTGCGGCGCCGGTTTGATCCCCGGCTGCTCCCCGGCCACCAGAGGAGGGTCTCACATGGCGCGCAGACCTCTCCTGCTGCCCGCTGCTCCCCTCAGCAGTGTACTTCGGTCTTTCTGCCTGCTCTGCTCCCCGCTCTGGCTCTGGTGAATTCTCTCACCCTCCCGCGCTTCTGACTGTACCCAGTGCTTGTATAAATAAATAAAATAAATAAATAAAAAAAATAAATCTTTAAAAAAAAAAAAAAAAAGATATCACTTCAATACACTGCAAGAGCATGTGAGAACCAACGTGGTGTAGAAATCAGGACAGTGGTCACCATCAGGTGGGGGCGCTGGCGGGACCAGGCGGCTTGCTCGTGTTTCCCATGACCCGGGGCCGGTTGCGCAGCGTGCCTGTGCCTGCAACTCCACATGGCCACCTGCCTCGTAACTCGGGCTCTCAAAACTGGCCCTTCTATGTCAAAGCAGGCATTAAGAATGTTTCTACAATGATAATAACAAAGGACAAAAAAAGCCCAAATGTGTAAAATAGCAGAAGCTCCTGGAAGGCACAGTCTGACTCTCACATCTCGTTCCTTCCTGGACTCTGCACCTAAGGGTGAGCAGGAAGGAGCCATTGAAAAAAGTCAAGAGGCGCCTTTCTGGTGGCGCCGCTCCCCTCAGCAGTGTACTTCGGTCCATCCGCCTGTTCTGCTCCCCACTCTGTCTCTGGTGAATCCTCTCACCCCCCCACACCTCTGGCCTATATCCCAGCTCTTGTATGCATAAATAAATCATTCTTTAAAAAAAAAAGAAAGAAAGAAAAAAGTGACACTGCCACCTTGGGTCCTGGGAGGAGGAAACTGCATGGACAGAAGAATTTTGCTGCCACTCACCTGGGCCTTCTCCCTCTTTGCCCGGATCAGAGTGTCCTGGTAATGCTGGGCCACGGGTGCCAGGACACCCTCGAGCTTGGCTGCAGGGATCTGCAGGGCCTGCAGAGTTCTCTGGGCATCCCCTTCGTCCAGGGCCTCATTAATCAAGCCAATGGCCAGAATCCCTATAGTACGAGGGGACAAAGGAGGAATTTTTTTTAACTAAGAAATTACATAACCAGACATTAAACATGCTCAGTGACCACAAATTCCCCCACGAGTCAAACGTTAAATGATAATTAATGATAATTAAATGATAAGTTAAAAGTTAAATGGTAATTTGCCATCCATGATATTAAATTTTTTTTAATTTAGTGTATATTTCCTTTAAAGCAAACTTCGTTTATATCCACGGCCCTACTGAAACCACAGTCCTATTTTATTTTAAATTGTTCTAATATCCAACTGTAGCTTTTTGAGAGTCTGTGTGTGTGTGTGTGTGTGGAAATGTGTGTCCACGCATTTTTTTTTTCTCTATTTCTCACCCCCAAATGTCTGGGGTAGTATCTAGAACTAGCTCATGGGACCAGGCCACTTAATAGTGGCATATAACTTGAACATGATAAGGACTCTGATGAAACTGACTGGTATACTTACTTCATAGTATTCAGGTTCATTCCAATGTATAATCAAAATCACTCCTGGGGCCTCCCTGGTGGCGCAAGGGGTTAAGTCTCAGCACTATTAAGCTACTGACAGAGCCACTAAAGCACAAGTTTGATGTCCAGCCAGGGAGGTACCCACATGGTGCAGCAAACCTCTCCTATCCCCCCGCTGCTCCCCTCAGTAGTGTATTTCAGTAGATCCAACTATTCTGCTCCCCATTCTGTCTCTGTTGAATCCTCTCACTGCCCCCCCCCACACACACACCTCTGGCCTGCACCCCAGATCTTGTATGCATAAATAAATAAATCTTTAGGGCCTCCCCGGTGGCGCAGCGGTTGAGCGCTGGGTTGCGAAGCTGCCCGCAGCCTCTGCAGCAGTTCGATCCCCGGCTGCTCCCCGGCCACCGGAGGAGGGTCCCGCATGACGCGCAGACCTCTCCTGCTGCCCGCTGCTCCCCTCAGCAGTGTACTTCGGTCTTTCTGCCTGCTCTGCTCCCCGCTCTGGCTCTGGTGAATTCTCTCACCCTCCCACGCTTCTGACTGTACCCAGTGCTTATATAATTAATAAATAAAATAAATCTTTAAAAATAAATAAATAAATAAAAATAAATAAATAAATAAATCTTTAAAAAAAGAGAAAACACTCCTGATTTGAAAGGATTTTTTTTCCCAAAGATTCATTTATGCACACAAGAACAGGGGCACAGGCCCAGGGGCAGGGAGGTGAGAGGATTCACCAGAGACAAAGCGGGGAGCAGAACAGGCAGAAGTCCTGAAATCCACTGCTGAGGGGAGCAGCGGAGAGACAGGAGAGGTCTGCTGCGCCCTCTCGGTAGCTCCCTGGCTGGGTCTCGAACTTAGGCTGCAGTGGCTGCGGACAGCTTCACAGTGCTGTGACTTAACCCCTTGCACCACCAGGGAGGTCCCTGAAAGGATTTAAAGCCACCTAACTTAACACTTCACAGGAGAAAGCTGAGCATAGGGGTGGCTATTGCAGGGTCACAGCAAACAATGGTGAGTGCAGGATCTGCATCCAGGGCTCCCCACTCCAAGGCAAGGCTCTTCCCACTAAGCTGACTAACTACTTCTCACAGAAAATATAAAACTAATTCCCAGGCATGGTGACATGGGAACTCCAGGCTTGCGGCTGCTGGCTAAAAGGAGTCTGGTAGAGGATATGGCTCTCACCTGTGTGAGGCAACCTGACTCCTGGCAGCCAGTGCCAGGACCACTCGTTTCAGATCACGTTCCATTCACCTCCTGGAAAATGTCTTCTAAATACACCCCGACTATAGAAGGGGCCTGGTGTTTTAAAAACTCTTTGTGTGTGTGTGCACGCGCATATACACCTGAATTTTTTTTTTGATTTCTCACCCCAAAATCACCCTCAGGTAGTACCGAGAGCCAGCTCATGGGACTGCCCCTTGGTGGTGGAAAGTCGATTACTCACTCTCATGTTCCTCCTGCACCACCAGGTTCACATGGTCCACACAGGCTTGGATGTCATTCCATGTAATAAATTCATTGTTTTCTGCATGTGCCTGAGCTTTCAGTTTCATCAGCTCATCAATATACCTGCCCCCACCCCCAACAAAAGACAAGTGTTATTAAGGATCACAGGAATGAGAAGACATGGCAGCAAACTACCCAAAGAATCCAGACACCTAAGGGACTGCCTCTCGGTGTGCTCTGAAGCAGCCTTGGGGGCAAGGAATTACCACAAAGTGTGAAAATGCAAGGACACCACTATTCTCAACAGTCTGTCACATGGTCTAAACGCCAGGTAAACTCCACTCTGGGATCAGAGGCAGCAGCTTAGACAACTGCTCTAAAGACAGAAAGCAAGGCCAGACAGTAGCTAGCAAGCACAGAAAGAATGACCGGGCAACAAGGTGTCACTTGGCAACGGCTCCTGAAAGTGTCTACTTAATAAGGGTTATCAACAGGAAGAACGTATTATGTGAATAGTTAATCATCTTAGTGGTGCGAAAGGTGACTATATCAGATGTTAAGAGAAAAGCATATATATACAACGGAAGGGTAAATTGGTCTCCTAACCGACGGATCAATCTTGTTATCTCTAATAAGGCAAGCAAACTTTATATGCCTCTGGATATGAGAAAGCTGAACTGAATCTTGATGAGCCTGTAGAACTAACTGCCAATTTACAGGAAGCGACCAGAACCAGGAGGAGGAATCTCTACTAGGATAACTGGCCTCATGTCTACAGGGTCACGAAGAAAGGAGCAGCTCTGTATAGAAGGACACCTAAGGGACACAGCCGTCAGATGTGACACAGGACAGTCTGGAACGGTTGAGGAAGTATGAGAAAGACGAGATTCAGAGGCTATTCAAAAACAGTACTGATTTTGTCAGGGCAGAGAGTCGTTTTAGTTATGTAACAAACACCCCTGTTTCAGATAGCCACGCTGATACATTTAGGAGTGGAAGTCACCGAATCTATAATTTACTGTGAGACCCTCAGGTAATAAAGGAATAAATGAATGAAGACAGAAAAAGCAGCTCTGAGTTCCCGGTGCCGACAAAGAAAAGTGTCCAACACGCATGGGTCAGGCACCAGCTGTCCCTTGGTGGAACTGCCTCTGGGCACCCACCTCTGACAGTTTTCTTCCTCAATGCTGGTCAGACCTGTCACGGAATTGCTCAGCTGTTTCCACACCGTGCTCACGTCTCCAGACTCCAGTGCCCTGTTGATTAGGGCCACCGACGACAGCATCTCCACAGCAACAGAGAGCTCGGGGTGGGTGAGGCTGTGCTGTATGGGAGGGGACAGGAAAGGGTGAGGAAAGACTGCTCCAGTACCAAGGGGGGGTGGGGGGGGAGTGAGACGTTTCATTAAACCATACTTGATGTCCAAGTTTCTTGTAAAAAATACAAATTCTAGCGACGTGCACCTAGAAGTGGGTATAAATTAGTTCACAAGTGGGAGCGGTTCCTGAGCTCACCTCAGGGCTCTGGAGCTGCAGGGTGGCCAGCTCCTTCTGGTAAAGACCAGCAGCGAATGGGTACACCTGGGGCAGCTGGGCCTCGGGATTCATCAGCTCCATGACCGTCTTCTCAGCGATGCCCTCCTGGATCGCAGCGTTGATCGCGGCCACAGCAGCCAGCCCTGGGAAGGAACAGGCGGTCAGACAGAAGGCCCAGGAGCCTACCAGGAAGGAGGCAAATTTTCACAGAAGACAGCGGCCTTCTGTGGACTAACGGTGGGCTAGCCACAACGTTGGAGGCAGGACTCACGTCCTGACAAGGCAGCTGCCTTGGCACAACAGTGAATGGGATGGCATGTGAACTTGTCTCTACAAAGGGTGTTTTAAAAAAAAAAAAAACCTCCTGTTCTCATGCCTCCAATCCAGCCTGAGGCTACCACTGCTCTCGATCCAAACATCTCTTCCTTGCCTGCACCTGGCAAACAAAGCACCAGCTTCTTAAGTCGTTCTCCAAAGCTTTCCAAGCCTTTATCTCACACAACGCAGGCCAATGTGCTACAGAAATCGCTCCCTAACCAGTGTCCTTCAAAGACACCTTCACTTCAGCACACGCTCACTTCCCCTACGGTGCCCAGTGTTAGAAAGAAACTTCCTTCTCTCTGCTTTTTCACCATGTAGAGCTTGCCAACCAACGCCTGGCCTTCCCCGGGTGGTTCCCCAACCAAGCCCCCAGGACTCACTAGCCGGGTCCAGCCCATGCCGCGCGTCGCCACCTTGCTAAGTGAGGGAACTTTAGCCACCAGAGCACCTGCAGGTGATCATGGCCAGAGGCCCAGGTTGGGGCCAGTAGTGAAAGGTCCTGACCTCAGACCCCCAACGACACAAGGTCACCAAGCTCCAGTGAGATGCCACCCTGTTGAGGACCCTTACTTCTCTGATACTGCTGAGCAGCGCCATTGGCGGCCTCCACACCAGACTGCAGCTCCTCCTTCTGCAGGGGGTCTGTCTGGCCGCCCTGTGAAGACAAAGAATACCACATAGAGACGGCATGTGGCGCTGCCTCAGCCTGAGCGTTCCTGTCCCACAGCAGCCCCTGGGGAGAGCACGCGGGTACGGGGACAGGGTACGGGACAGCTCCGGGCTGCATGCAGACACAGGGCAGCCCACCCCATGGCCCTTGCTAAATCCAGGGCAGCATGACCTAGTTAAAAAATATTTAGTGAAAAGCATAAAAATATTTTGAGATAAGACATATTTATAGAACTAGCAGCATTCATGCTATTTAATCTGGCCAACATATGACAGGAATTTGCAAAATGTATATGCGCCCTTATTTAGACAAAAAAGCAAGCCCCTGTGTGTGCTGTAAAAAACAGCCCACAAAGCCTGAGCCGCATGGTGTACTCTCGTTCACATCAAGTCCTTTCCCAGGGTCGGCCAGGACCAGCGACTGAGTTGAAATTTCTGAAGCAAGAATATAAAATATCCAAGTTCTCCCCACTGGTTTACAGTCTGGGATGAAAAGGGGGTGCTGCAAGTGAAGGGGTGCATGGACGCTGTTTGTTTATTTTAAAAGAGGACTGATAACTCTAAAAGCAGAAGAGAGTTGGACACAATGTGTACTTGACCTGAACCTATTTTAAAAAAACAGTTAGCAGCACTCCCTCTGCCCACCAGTGACTATGCAGCTGCTGCTTCTCACCCACTCTCTCCCTCTGCAGGGCAGCAGCCTCCGGCCTGCCCATGACCTGTCAAGGCCATCCACCTGCAGCCATGCAGGCCTCTCGCAGCAAACCTGTCCCTTTGGGGCAGTTCTTCCTGCCCGTTTGTGTCTATGCAAGACACAACTGTTTAATCCCTTCCCTAATAAACCTGCCCTTTAAACATAAATTAATTAAAATAAAAAATTAATATGAAGGAGAAAAAGTTATACTAGGAAAAAAAAAGTTACACTTGAAATGAAGGCACAGGATTCAAACGGCTGCCAGAGGCCTGCGGGCCTCCCCTGCACCTCACCTGTCTCTTCTGCTGCCGGTCACTCAGGAGCTGCTTGAGGTACCAGTCCCCATTCTGCTGCTGCAGTCCCCGCAGGGCCAGCGCTGGCAACTGCAGGGCCTTGACGAGGGCCAGCACAGATCCTTGCTCCAGAGCCAGGTCCACGTTTGACAGTGCAGAAGAGGCTGGGGCGGGAGAAGGCAGAAGCGGAAGGAAGAACCATTAACATGCAGCCTAGACCCTGAGCCCTCCTCCACGCGGGCCCCCTTCCCAGTGGGAGGGGAAGACACACAAGCACCTTTCTCCCGGCGGGCACGGGAGCCTGAGACGCTGGCACTGCAAGAGCCAAGGTCCCCGAGGCCGGGGGACTGCCAGGCCGCTCACCAGATTTAGCTGACTCCCAGCCACACCAGGTCTATGTACAAGTTTCCAGACAGAAAGAGCCAGGCAGCTATCCAGGCAGCAATCCAGGCAGCCTCAGTCCAGACACAAATCCTAAGTGCCCACCGAGAGGCCCAGTGGTCCAGATGAAACTGCTAAGCGGAAGGCTCTCTTCCCCACAGCAGCTGACCGCATGCTCGGACTGTCTGTCTCCAAAACTGCGAGGCCGCTCTCGCCCAAGAGAGCGGCCGACACAGCCAGCCCCTCCTGCGACAGCCCTGCTGATGAGGGGGTCTGCACCCACATCCTACACAGGGTCACTCTGAGCCCCTCATCACCCTAGCATCTCCTGGCGTACCCCCCTTGGAGCAGTCAGGCCCCGAGCCCCAGGGGGCATCTGGCGGACAGGGAAGGGTGGTCTGAGGCCAGGCTCGCCTCCATTTCGGTCATGCTCATCTCCAAGGGCAGAGCGGGTGTTCTCTCTGAGACCGTGACAGAGCTGCCTTCCTCACGGGGCCGCCGCTAAAGTAAGATGCGACCACCCACATGACAGCTCTCAAGCCACACAGGCGCACGGTTCAAATGCAGAATAAGGTGTTTTCTGATTTCAGAAATAAGAGCCACTGGCAAACCATAATTACCACGTTACTTTCAGATGAAAACCAGAGCTCGCTGTCCCATGACCCAACCAGGAATGACCATCTCATTTTATCACCAAAGCAGCAAAACAAACCAATACTACCAAAGATGACAATATTTGGGGCATAGCAGTACCTGTCCATTTTACATGTTTTCATTAGTAAAATAACAAAAGAAAATAAAAGGTGTTGGAATGAAACAATCTAAGGAAAAATTAGTCTCAAATATACTAGACAATGGGGTGGAGCAGCGGGGAGGAGGAGCACTACTCAGTAAAAGCAGGAGGTGACAGGAGGGAGGCTCTGCGGCCTCACCAGGTGCCTGGGAGACCGTCACTTCTCCCCAGTGACTCGCCTGCAGTTCAGCCCAACAAGTCCCGAGACAGGGCCCCCCGGCCGCCCCGAGAGCTGCCACTCAGCCACGAGCCAGATGGACAAACAGCCGCGCAGTCACGGGCCGTCGCGGGGTGCGCCCATGGGAGAGGACCAGCACAGGTGCCACCAGCTCTCCTGGCGGCAACGCAGAATCTCAGACTACCTAGTAGTCAGCTATGCTTTCACCAGGAGCACACTCACTACTTAACAGACTTGTAAATATTTAAATGAACATTACTAATGTTTATACTATGAAGAAGACAAAGTTTAGAACATTACTTCAACTCTCTCTCCCACGAGGCTCCAACGAACTCGCTCTAATTTTCCTTATTCTACTTAACAAAAATGAATATTTTTCTCATGTTTCAACTACTCGGCCTGCACGTTTCCTCCAGAGCAATGCTAACGGCTTCGCTCACAGGGCTCAGCCCTGGGAGAAACTCCCGGCATCTAGAGTTCCCCCACTGCCCTTGCAGGCGACCTTCCTCACCTTCCCACCCAGCCTGAACCTCCCAGGGAGGCGCGCAGACATGGGAGCCTCCCCAGTGCCTCCAAGATGTCCCTGCTCCCTTCTCTACTCCGTGACGGCATCTCACACACCTTTGGTACCTGTTCTAGCCAAGCTGCCCTGAAATTATCCAGTTTCATGTTCAGCTTCCACTGTACTGAAAGCCGTGTGAGGCAATTCTTCCTGTTGTGCTCCTTGGCCACATGAGAACAACGGGAAGGGAGCACTTCAAAAGCATTTATAACTGACTTTCAAACACCTAGCCGAGTAAAGCTCTAACAGTTGTGAAGTCACAAACACCACAACAGGAAAACACCCCTCAGCAAACCCGTGAGGAATCACGAGTCATGAGTGCCGTGGAGACAGGCAGGCGGCCTGCGTGGCAGCGCCGCAGCTGGCTGTGTTCTGGCAGGTAAAGGAACCGACGCAGGATCTGCACCAGCAGACGAAACAGAAATGATACTTCAAAGAAATTTCTCAAGGGCCTCCCCTGGTGGCACAGTGGTTGAGCGCTGGGCTGCGAAGCTGCCCGCAGCCTCTGCAGGGCCGGTTCAATCCCCGGCTGCCGGCGAGGGTCCCACTTGGCGCGCAGACCTCTCCTGCCGCCCGCTGCTCCCCTCAGCAGTGTCCTTCGGTCCTTCTGCCTGCTCTGCTCCCCGCTCTGGCTCTGGTGAATTCTCTCACCCTCCCGTGCTTCTGACTGTACCCAGTGCTTGTATAGATAGATAGATAGATAGACAGATAGACAGATAGATAGAGAGATAGATAGATATCTCCTAAGCACGTGCCACAAGGTGAAAAGGGGGAGCTGCAGGAGGAGTGGTCTGGAAGCTAAAGCAGTGAGCAGAGGCCTGAGGGTCTGAGCCGTGACAGGGACTCAGGACACAACAGGCCGGGGCAAGCGACGGTGCCGAGCTGGACCCACAGTGCCTGACACGGACATGCTGGTGCCGCACGGGCCACTGGCACTCACGCCAGCCAGGCGTACTCACTGTTGACTTTGTTTACGTTGCCTTGGATCTCAGCCTGCGTGAGCAGCTCCTCGTAGACATCCCTCTCCCGCTCAGAGTTTTCTGTCTAATGGGAAAGGTGAGGAGATGTCAGCTTAGGTCTCTAACAAGATCACAGCAACACCGGGGTGCTTTCCCCACAACAGCAACAAGGGCAGGAAGCCCATACTCTGACTAATCATGAACAAAGCAGAGGCCACACAGCTATAACCAAAACCAGAAAAAGCAGGTTTGCTCGTTAATGTCGAGCTGAGGGATCCCTCAGCACTGGACGGGCAGGAGACCCTGTGGCAACAGGTGACTCCAAGCAGAACAGGCACCCCAGGGACTGTGCAGGCGGCATGGGTAAGGCAGGTGGCTGCTACCTGCTGACAGGCGCTGGGCACCTGTCTTGGGGGCAGGGCCCCGGCTCCGGGGTAAGCGATGTGAAGGTTGCTCTGAAGTAGGGTCGTTGGGTTTTGCCCTCTGGGCACACGCCCAAGGACTGAGACATTTCACCAAAAGGGGAATGAATTCACGCGAACTCTTCAAAGGAGAGCCGCAGGGTGGTCACTTCCAAGTCTACCTCACGCCGCTCCCGCGTGCCCACACAGCAGCGCCGACGCTGCACCCCAGAGGAGCTGGGAGAGGCGGAGGTGCGTTGATGACCCATCTTTCAAAATGGTCTTTTTTAATGATCACACTCCAATTTTATGTACAAATTTTATTTGTACAAAATCCAAGAAGAAAGTAGAAAATGGAATCTAACAGCAGCAGACAACCCACCGTGAGGCCCACCGCGCTGACGGGGAATGCCGGGCAAGGCAAGCGACGGTGACAGAAAACAGACTGGAGGTGCCTGCGGGCAGGGCAGGGGGTGGGGAGTGGGAGAGCCTGACTACACGGGGGAACCTGGGAATTTCTGGGGTGCTGTTTACATTATCAAAGTATGTACTTAAAATGTGTGGCTGTAAACTACACAGAAATAAAACTGATTTTACAGAGAGTCCTATCAAACTATGAAAGAATATTAACAAGAAAAAAGAGAACTTTCGCTTTTACCCTGTTCTTTGCGTTGGTCATCTTGTCCTGCTTGGCCTGGTACAGCACATCCTGGTAAGTGGACGCCAAGAGCTCCTCCAGGTTCACAAGCATGGCGTTGGGGTTTTTCAGAGCCGCAAATGTGTCGGCTGGGATTCTACGGTCCACAGCTTCATTGATGGCAATGACGGCAGCGTGCACTGCACACACCAGAATCAGAGCACAGAACACGGAGGTGAAGGACGCACACTGCCCTCGGGCAAGCTCACAACCCCCTCTGCAGGGAGGGGTTTCTTTTCACAGACAGAAAAATAATGCTGAGTGGGAGGAATGACCCCCAGGCCACGTCTCCGTCTCCCCCTCCTCCTCGGGCAGAAAACCACAGCTGTGCCGGGTTCCAGTTTGGGACGCTGGACTCGGCACCCCCAGGGAAACACACAGGAGCTTCCCAAGGAGCACCTGTTCAGCCATAATCTCTGTGTAATGCCACAAAGAAATAGGGAACTCAAAGAGGCAGTGACATGTAGGACTCACTTTCTAAGTGAAATAACCACTTATTTCAAATAACAATAGCATCGAAGACTATATAGCAATGTTTAAACCTGCATCTACTGACCTAAACTTGCTAGCAAAATTCTGAGTATCTAAGAGATGATCGTTATAGTATTAGTTAATGAAAATGGTAACAACGATCCCATTAGAACCCATAACATTTCCCTCTTCTTACACGCAGCTTCATCCACTGAGAGTTCATTGGCCAGGATGCCCCCAATCTTGCTGAAGGCAGGCATCTGGATCCCATACTTCTCCAGCTCGATCTTCATGTTGTTGATTTCTTCCTCTACAGGAAGGAATTAAGACACAGTCAAGCAACATAAGCTCAGGGAAGGAAACGGCTTCCTCGGTTGCAAAATGGGGTAAAATAGCACCTACCCCTTAGGACTGTGCTAAGGACTGAATGAAATAACATATGGAAATCCCTTACCCCAGTACCTGTGTCATAGTATTACTATCACTATTATCAGGAGCGTCAAAAATAACTAACACGAGAAAGCCCGACAGGAAGCAGTTTCCAGAACTGCTACGGCATTTCCTACACGAGCCCGAGGAGAGCAGCTCTACGGGGAGCTCGACGGGCCAGTCAGTCATCGCCGTCTTGCACTCCAAGTCACGGCTGCTATCAAAGAGTTCATTTCCAGGGCGGAAAGCCAAGTGGTAAGAAAACACATGTGCCTCTGGCCCTTGCCCCGAGTCTGGGGAGCAACTTCCGTGGAAGGAATAATCTCATAGATAAAAGTGCCATTAGCAATTTCTAAAACTCCCAAGCCTTTACAATCACCACCAGTTCCAAAGATGTGGCTCTGTCTTATCCCTACCCAACACTGCACTGGGCTTTCTCCCCAAGCCTCCACCTCCGCAAGCCCCTGGCACAAACACCCACACGAATGAGGAAAATTAGGAAGAACAGACTGTGATGGGGCAGCACCTCCCCCATCTTGCTTTACCACCACAACAGGCATGGGCTGGGCACTGCGGGCTTTCCCCGCACATGAGCATTTCAAAACAGATGAGGAAGTGATACATGTCAGGTTTTAAATAAAATGTCATAAATATTATACGTCAATATTACTCCCAACTGATGTCAGAAAGCAGGATCATTCAGCTCCTGGGTGGTCATACCTGTACAGTAGAGAGGCTGAAACTCCAAGTTCAGCGTTCTTGCTGCCACTCAGAAACAGGGTGCCCACTCCCTGCTCTGCTCCAGTGTCTCTGAAGCCCTGCGTCTTTAAGGTGGGCACTGCTGGCCCTCAGGCTATTTCCACATAAATCAAGCATCTGCTGCCACCTCTGTAACTTACCTGTGAAGTCAACCTTTCCATACAGGTCTTGAATCTGAGGCGCCAGGCCTAGTTTGAACAGGTACAAACTAGAAGACAAACACACAGAAGAGTCAGGTCTCCCGGGCTCCAAGCGTGGATGCAGAGGCTTAAAGTGGACCCAGCACCACTCAGAACAGGGTCCCACAGCCCTGGCCGGGGCCGTAGACACAAGCGCAAGCCCAGGCCCAGCACCAACACAGCGTGTTTAGAAATTAATGTAATTCCTAGAAATCTGTTTCCTTTCCCATGATCAGTAAGTTTTAAATAATAAGACATTTGAGAAAATGATTCAAATAGCAAAACCTAGGCGAATTTAGATTGCCAGTGGAAAAGTTTATTTCAGGTAATTTGAGTTTTAAATAAAGTAACTATTATAGGTCTTTACTTCTTTAATAAAAAAAGAAAACTCTAGACTGTAAGCTCCCTGAAGGCAGGGACAATAAGACGTTTGCTCACCAATGCCTGCCCACAGCCCAGCGTTATTAATAGGCATTAATCTCCACTTCACAAATGGGTGTATGGACACCTGTATGTATGCCTAACTGGGGCTAACTGAATTCTAAGGCCTGAGCAGGTCAGAATTCATAAACAAGAGAAACGAGGGGGGCCTCCCTGGTGGCACAAGGTGTTAAGTCACAGCACTGTGAAGCTGTGCACAGTCACTGCAGCACGAGTTCCATTCTCGGCCAGGAGGTGACCCACATGGTGCAGCAGACCTCTCCTGTCTCCCCGCTGCTTCCCTCAGCAGTGTATTTCAGTAGATCCACCTGTTCTGCTCCCCATTCTGTCTCTGGTGAATCCTCTCACCTGCCCCCCACACCTCTGGCCTACACCCCAGCTCTTGTACGCATAAATAAATAAACCTTTAAATAAAAAAAGAAAAAGAAATGAGGACACTTCACAGGAACACACATGAGCAAGACACTGACAGCCCAACTAAGAGAAGAAATTAAAAACATCTAAAAAAAAAAAAACATACAAACTCAACAGATTGGGCTATAGTTTTTACAAATAATCCATAAACCTAAACCTCAGTATTCTCTAAATACAAATGTTTCATGTATACTGCATTCACAGGAACTTAAAATGTACATAATAAGCCCAAATATATAACCCAAAATTATTAAGTATTATGAAAACACATTAGAATTTATACATCCCAGTAGCTAACTATTTTCTCAGTTAAGTGGAAGTATACACACACACACACACACACACACACACACGTATATATAATTATAAGCTTTACTTAGAGGAAAACACTCAGAATGGAACTATACAAAGCTCCTCTCTCAGAAGATTTTAAATCTATTTAGTGGTTCCCACAGCAAAACAGCGAAGAACTTTCTGTACATGTAACATGCTCCTTTATCTGTCCCCACATGATATGTTCCACCTGTACTCTGAATCAGTAACAACATTTTTCTCCAGGAACTTCTTCCTCTTTTATTCCTACTTTAATGTAGGAAAGTGGCTGCCATACTTGAAGAAAAGTTCAAGAGGGTTGCGCCAGAGCCCCAACCAATGCGAGCTGGCCTTTAGTGTCCTTCAGCAGGGGAGGGGAGGCATCCACCGATACCTCCACAAGGTAGAGAAGGTACAACGTGCGTTCTTTACCTCATGTCAGTCACCGGGAGTGGTTTAAAGAGATGCTGGAGCTATAAATGGAATCACAATGGCCACTTAGCTCCTCTTATCCAGAATCAAAAGTACTTAACCTCAGGGCTGAAACTTGAACACCTGCTGGGAAACAACACTTTCCCATCTTGATTCCTGCTCGCCCTGCCAACCTTCATGAACCTTCAGCTGCCCCTACAGTCAGCTGGTGACGGGGCTCGGGTTTCCTTCTCCCGATGTAAGCTGTACTTTACAGCAAGTCAGAGAAGGCAGTTGTGTCAGCCTATCTGGATTCCTATTATCTTTGCTTATTGTGGAATAACCTGGAAGAAATGACTAAGTGAACCTCAAAGATCACCAGCGAAGTCTCTTAAAGACGGCAACTATTAAGAAACAGAATCTGGTACAGGCCCATGGCCCCTTACCCAAGTTCTTTTGGTCAGATATGATTTAGGATTTCTCATTCTGGAACGGCCGTGCAATACAGACAGCACTATAAAACACTCCAGCAATACTTAGGGCAGTAGCCCTAATAAAATACATTGCTTTTCTGCAGAGAAACATACACATAATCGTATTAAGTAGATAAATATTCTAAATAAGTTCAATTAATTCTGAACAAAGTAAGTTTAAATTCAATTTTCAGGTTTGTTTTTGTTTCATTTTTAGGAGTTTTTTGAACCTAAGCTAAAGGACCGTGGGTTTGCTTAGTCTCAAAGGGAATCCTAAGAAACATAAGGTATCAGGAGAAGTGGGGGAGAGCTGGGGTCTCATCTGAGGGTGGAATATCACCGAGAGAGTATTTAGTAAGGCTAAAGTACAGTGAATATCTCTGGATTGGACAGTCGAGATGTTTAAAAAAACAAACAAACACAGGGAAGGAAAAACTGCAGTGACGCGCCTGATCCAAAGGGTAGCGGGCACCTCGCCCCAGGGCAGCAAGGAGCACTGACCACCACCGTGCTCTCTGCGAAGGGGCTCGCGCCATCGTAAACACTTCCTGTACACTGTCAAGTGTCGCCACCTCACCCTGCAGGAGAAACCCCTAAAGGGTGGAGAGAAGCCATGGCCACCAGCCGAACACGGCGCCATGTGCAGTCTGAGCACAGGCTGCAGACGGCCGGGCCGCGGAGCGCAGCAGCAACGTCCCCTCACGTGAGGACACACATTAGAAGGTGATGGCCACGAGTCCTCTGTCTCTACGTGGGAGAACTTGGGGGCCTGTGACCCAGGCCACACTGCGGAGTAAAGGCTACGGAACTCGCAGAGAAGAATTCTGCCAGCTCAGCCTCGGCGCCAGGCAAATTCAGAATCCTTCCACAGGAGCGGCCTTCCCGAGGCCATTACCACACAGACTCACCAAACACTTGGCCAACCACGATACTCAGAATTCATCTGGTTTTGACTCAGATCACACACATTTGAAATTGCCACATGTGGAAAATTCTCTGATAAACTCCCCATTCCTAATCATTTTTTCTTTTTGTAATTCTCGTGTTACTATCTGTGCAACATTACGCTCAGTACCTTCGAGGGGCAGAGAGAAACGTAAGGTATGACTGCCGTCCTGAGGTGCCTATCACGAGACAGCAGGTTAAGACTGAACAGATGAAAGAAACAATACATGACGGAAAAAGCAAAACCAAAACCCTCAGAAGTCTAAACAAAGGAATGAGCTGGAGTCCCTGGAGAAAATTCACCAAGAGGGAGGGAACTGAGCTAGAGCCTGGAGGGACAAGCAGAGCCAGACACTAGAGTCACCAGCGTCACCTTTCCCTCTCGAGGACAGAAAAAACACCCCTTAGGCCGGAAGGGGGAGACAGATTTGATGGGAGGTATGGTTTTCACATGAACGCTTGCTAGACACCGGCCACACAGCAGCAGGCGCCCAGATAAAGGAAGAGCAACCCGTGAGGAGGGCACAACAAGACCGCGGCCCCAGCGTGCGCTCCTTGGTTTTGACTGCTTTAAGAGATTTTAAAGTGAAAAGACAGGGCCTGTATCCCAAGCGAAATGCATCTCTGGCAGAAACACGGGCTGATCACGAAAGAGTATTCTGTGCTTTAGGACAAAACTGTCGGCTGTTATGGAAATAAATAAACCTCTTCTCCCTAGTCCCTAGGAAAAACACAGCTGTTTCTCACATTCTGTTAGCAGTATCCTGCTTGAGAACTCTGAAGAGAATGCAAAAACATTTTTTTCATGACCAAAAAACTACTCAATTCAGATGCTTCAAGCTTCTTGTTTACATGATACAACTGCCACATAATGAAATGAGTTCAGACGTACAACACAAGTCCACACACGACACACGACACAGACCACAATAAGCCTCGTCGGCCTCCATCACTGCATACAGTACACGCTTTTTTCTAGTGATGAAAACCTTTAAGGCCAACTCTCTCAGCAGCTTTCAAATATACACACAGCAGTGTCAAGTGCAGTCTCCACGCTGCACATGATACCCCCAGGACTTAGATGTATAGCTGGAAGTGTTTACCTTTTAACCACTTTCAACTAGCTGGCCCCTCCCCCATCCTGGCAGGCACTCATCTGTTCTCTGTATCTACATAACTGCTTATTTTACCAAGAACACAGGGTTACCTGAGCGCGTGGATACAGTAGATACATCTTGGCATGTTCTTTCTATCATAGATATCTGTAGTTTCTGGGTAAAAAATCTAAGGAGAAAGAAAAGAAGCAGAATAAGGCACCAACCCCTAGGGTCCAAACCATCAGTTCCCCATCATCAACACAGAGCCCTTGGCCCCCCAGAGACACTGCTGGCCGGGGAGCAGGGCAGCGCACACCCGCCCCACTCTGCAGCGTGAGCACGTGGGTAATCGCCTGTTCTTGTGCTTGTTTTCTGACACCTGTGGCTCACTATAAAGAACTGTGCTTGCTAAGCGATGGGATATGTCAGAATAATCGTTTTTTGATGATTTTCAAAGTCTGTCTGCTCCTTTCCCAAGACTCAGAGGGCTCCCCTCAAAGGTGAGCCTTTGAGGATAGTACAGAACACATTTTAGAAATAAAAATAAGCTTGGGTGGGCAGGATGGAATCAGATCATGGGGACCTTGAAATTCTGGACTTGGCATGCTGACCGCAGGGAAGTCCTTGCTTTGGCGTCAAGGATGAAAACGGAGCCTCTGGAAGGTTTGCGAGAAAACAGGATACAGGCTCTGCTGACTAGTGAGGGAATGGAAGCTGAGGGGGCCAGGTCAGAGAGACACCTCAAGAAAAGAGGCCACTCTGGGGAATGACCACACGTAGGAGCCCACGGTAACTCCAAGGTTTTGAGACTGGACGACGGGGAAGAGGAAGACGTGGCAGCACTTGCTACAGAGGAGGGGACGGTCACTGGGGGAAAGGCAGGCTTCTTCAGGTGTGGGAAACTTTGGGTGACAGAGAGCTACCCAAGGGAAAATGCAAACTGAAGACGCTGTGCTTATCTCACATCCAAGTCTTCCAAATAACTGAAACCCCGCGAAGGAGAATGTTGCTAAGATAAGGACTGCACCCCAAGGCGTGCCCACCAAGAGGCGATGGGAAGGAGAATAGTCGAAGAAATCAAGGGTGTAGTGGAGGCAGATTAAAAACAATTTTTAAAAAATCAAAGTAATAAGCTCTATCATGGAGGAGATGGCCCACTGAACCAATTGTAATAAAAAGTCAAAAAGAACCAAAAAATAGGGCCACCCCGGTGGCACAGCGGGTTGAAAGCAGTGCTGTGAAGCTGTCCGCGGCCTCTGCGGCGTGGGTTCGATTCCCAGACAGCGAGGGAGATCCCCACATGGCGCGGCAGACCTCTCCTGTCTCGCCCGCTGCTCCCCTCGGCAATACTTTCAGTCCGTCTACCTGTTCTGCTCCCGGCTCTGTCTCTGGTGAGTCCTCTCACCCTCCCACGCCTCTGGCCTGTACCCCAGCTATTGTATAAATAAAAAATAAATCTTTAAAAAAAAAGAAAAAAAAAAAAAGAACGAAAAAATAAGCAGTCACGTAGCCTGTATGAACCACAAAGAGAGATCAGGAAGACATCCCCAAAACACTGCCCGTGGGTCAGTCATCACACACCAGGGGCAACAATCTGCTGAAGTTGAAAACCCTGAGTCTATGTTACACAGCAGTCGCTGGACCTAAATCATGGCAGGGGGATATTTCAGGGCAATTGCCATGGTAACAACCCTGTTTGTCCCTGAAAGCCTTTGGGGAATTCTGTTTGTTGCAAGAGTGGTCCAGGACAATGCACTACTGTTAGTGAACAAAAGGGTAATGAAATTAAATGATTAAAAAAGCATTTTGTAGTAACACCACTACTGGCAGTAGCAATTATTCACAAAGCTTAGTATCACTCAAGAGAGGTTAAATTGTCATTGCCACTGGACAGAATACTGGACATACTGCAGCACAACAGCAACACGAAGTTACAGGTGCACAGTCAGGCCAAGTGGCTGTAAGCACTTGACATACTGCGTCTTTTGGCATTTGTGGGGCCTAATTCTTAAACATACCAGAACAAGGAAGAGAACGGCAGCACTCTGCTCTGAAAAAAAAAAACGGTAAGAGCTAGTCTTCTGCGGAGGACTGTGGCTTCAACTCAGCGCCCAGATCCCGCAGGGCTGGGAGCGCGGCACCACCCTAGGCCCCAGGCACCTCTCACCCTCGGTGCCGCTCCACATCCCATTTGAAAAGTCTTTGTCTGGTTACAAGGATGTAGACTCTACAGCAAAGTATAAAGAAAACAAAAACCACCCTTGATCCCGTGACACAGAAATGAGAACTGCGCATCTTTCCAGACGCTCCCTAAGAACCCTCACTTTATTTTCCACAAAAGTAGGGGTCTCATCTCAGCCACAACACCAGCTCTGAAATCCTAGGCCAGTTTGGTTTTGCTTTCGTTTTCTTGTCACTTAACACATCGGAGACAACTTCCTTTGTCAATACAGACGCTAGTGTATCCTTTTTAACGGGCAGGACTAGAGTTAGACGGGCTGGAACACAGCCGAGACCCCCATGGAGGAACGTGCGGCTTGCTATCACCTTCTACCACAACAAAGCTGAAAAATCTTTTTAGATACATCTTTTTATGCTTGTCTGATTTGGGGGGATGGGATAAATTCCCAGTCAAAAGCCACAGGATGGGGGCATGCCTCTAAGGAGAGGATCCAGGGTGGCTTCTAGGTTCAAGGAAGGACTGGGCAACCAGAGATGATGATTTCACTAAGAGCTGCACTAAATAACCCCCTGAGCAAAGCACTCAGGGATTTATAACGCCCACATCAAAACCTCAGCTGCATCAGACTGTACATAGTACAGATGGGTAGTCTGTGTATCAATTAAGCAGCAGTAAAGCTGATAACAAAACATACAGCCTCCCAAAACCAGACATAAGTAAAAGTGGGACCTCCCTGGTGGCGCAAGGGGTTAAGCACAGCACCATGAAGCAATCCGCAGCGTCTGCAGCACGAGTTCGATCCCCGGCTGACCAGGGAGCAACCCACATAGCACAGCAGACCTCTCCTGTCTCCCTGCTGCTCCCCTCAGCAGTGGATTTCAGTCAGTCTGCCTGTTCTGCTCCCCACTCTGTGTCTGGTGCATCTTCTCACCCCCTACACCTCTGGCCTGTACACCAGCTCTTGTATGCATAAATAAATCTTTAAGAAGTAAAAGTAACGATGTGTCTACAATTTGAAGTAAAAAATGACTCTCCATTCTGCCTATATATTTGATTATTTTGAACCTGGAAGGTGATATTTCTATGATATTTCCTAAAGTCAAATTTTAATATGACAAAATAAAGATCTTGGAACTGTACACATTAAAAACATGAATTTCATGGTACGTGAATTTTAATGTAAATCTACAATTTATAGAAAATGACATCATAGGGAATTTCTCTAAAGTGTGGTACAGCAGAAATGAAGAATAAGAAAGAAAAAGAACAAAACTATTTCCTAAAGCAAATAGAAGAGGTTCTTTGGTATTAAAAATATGATCTTTGGGGCCTCCCTGGTGGCGCAAGGGGTTAGGCACAGCGCTGTGAAGCTGTCCGCAGCCTCTGCAGCACGAGTTCCATTCCCGGCCAGGGAGCTACCCACATGGCGCAGCAGACCTCCCCTGTCTCTCGCTGCTCCCCTCAGCAGTGGATTTCAGGCAGTCTGCCTGTTCCGTTCCCCACTCTGTCTCTGGGGAATCAACTTACCACCACCACCACCCTCCCGCCGCCCCCTGCATCTCTGGCCTGTACCCCAGCTCTTGTATGCATAAATAAATAAATCTTAAAAAAATATATGATCTTTGTTTTTAATTCAGTTGAGGATAATTCTACAGGCAGAAGGAGAACTGCTGTCCCAGAAGCCCCAGAGCCACGCCGCGGCGACGCGGGTTACCTTGGGCAGTCCAATCTCGGCCATGGCATTCAGCCACTGGATCACGTTATCAGTGTGTCGGAAGTGAAGGCCGGTTGCCTAGGACAAATGAAAAAGACCCTGAGGTACTGCTGGCAAGACGGGGCAAATGCTCTGTAACCATCTTTGCAAAAGTTTGCTCTCAAGACTGTGCGAGGTCCCCTTAGACGTGAGGGCGCTCCACAGAGCTGTGCTCACATTCCGAGCTACGCTGGCGCCTCCCGCTTAGGAACCCTGGAGCCTTCCCAGGGCCACACCATAGACCGTGGTCTTTGGGATTCACTCGCTCTGCCTCAGCTCCTGCCTTGGCCATCCACTGGCCACACTCTCTTTGATATTCAATCTTTTAAAAATAGAGCTGACAGGAAAGGTCCCCCACAGAAGCTCTGTAGACAACAGGACTTGGTCCTTTTTAACAACGCAGTGTAATTAAGCAGTCTTCTTCCTCCTCCTCGGGCAACAAGACTCTAACCCTTTCATGTGTCTCAATTTTCTGAAATTGGATCACTTTCCTCATTTTACCTTGAACTCTAATATCACAGGGTGATCTTTTGTCTAAAGAAACTATTGTCTTGAATGTGCCAACAAATCTCAGTATTTGGTTAAAATTACATTTAAAGTAGTCACTTCCCTAGTTCCTTCCTCTAGCTTCTAAGAAATAAAAAAATCCTCAGGACAATGAAAACGTCTAGATACACAGCATCCTAAGGATTCTACCAGAAATACAGACAGCCAGAGTTCCTCTACTGCTATAAGCTGACTATTTTCTCCACTCGCCAGGTATTTTGTGAGACTAAGCACACGGACTTCTCAGTGACGCTCACGCGGGGCCGCCCACGTACGCCAACCTTCTCTCTCAGGCCCGTAAGAACGCGAGCGCCAAGCAGGGAAGGACTCACCTTGTATCTGGTCTGCTCCCGGTCATAGATCTTCTTCAGGGACACCACTTTGGGAGAGAAGAAGTTGCCCAGTTTGGCCAGGTAGACCCCATTCCTCAGCCCCTCCTCCAGCTCCGTGGTGGGGGGCAGGTCTTCCCCAAGGCACGCTTCCATCCACCTGCACCGAAGGAGACAGACGTGAGAAAGAGGGAAGAGCTGAACTCTCGGAGCATAAGCTCAACAGCCATCTTCCTCGGAGATGTTTAAGTTGACCATTAAAGTTGAACATGAACGATACCCAAAATGCTAAGATTCAGTCTCACGCGAGGCCTTGTCCAGCGCAGGGAGCCCTGAGGATTTCAGAGGCGGGGACGTGAGGAGCTCCTGGCATAGATGTCTCCACCTTCTGTACCCCGCCTCCCCTGTGGCGGAACAGAGCCCACTGGCCCCCAGGCCCCACTGGGTCCAGAAACCTCAGCACCTCTCCCTGCCCCTGAAGGCCCTCCTCACCACTCCTGAGGAGCCCCCGGCCTGCGCCCGCGCCCACGCCCCGCCAGAACGGCCGCCTGCTGCGGCTCTTTTCGTTCCCGAGCTCAGAAGCCACAGTGCGTTCCCGCGTTCAGCTTTCAAGGTTGTTTGGGGACTAGCAAAAAGTCAACTCTCTCACCGAAATACTGAAGAAAATGCCAGTGGCAGGTTATAAATTCCCGCGTAAGTGCTTCTCAGGAGGACGGAGGAGGCCGTGAAGGGGGAAAGGAAAAGAAAAGTGCGTTTCCCCCTCAGCCACCGCTCGCAGGGCTGCAGGGAGCCCCAGGGGCCGCAGAAGCGCGTTCCCTTCCTGCCGTCAGAGACCCGGGTGATCAAACATCACCTCGGACAACGACTTCAAAGAATGGTGTGCGTCGCTGACAATCCTCTGAACAGCTAAGGGAAGCTATCGCTCCTTCCCCGAAAAAATGTGCATACGCTTAAATTCAATATATAATTTCAGAGATTTCATCGACACCAGTTTAAAAAAGCCCTCATTTAAAGCTGTTCTTCTGGGCCTCCCCGGTGGCGCAGCGGTTGAGCGCTGGGTTGTGAAGCTGCCCGCAGCTTCGATCCCCGGCTGCTCCCCGGACACCGGAGGAGGGTCCCCCATGGCGCGCAGACCTCTCCTGCCGCCCGCTGCTCCCCTCAGCAGTGTGCTTTGGTCCTTCTGCCTGCTCTGCCCCCCCGCTCTGACTCTGGTGAATTCTCTCACCCTCCCATTCTTCTGACTGTACCCAGTGCTTGTATAAATAAATAAATAAATCTTTAAAAATAAAAAAAAAAAAAATAAAGCTGTTCTTCTAGCAGATGTGGGAAGGCTGATGTCATTCACATTCTTCAGATTTCAAGGCGTAGAACTCAAACGTCAGATGGGGGAAAAAACAAGTGAGTTTTCCAGAAGAGGTCCACAGTGACTAAGTCACCGCTGCACAGGCCTGAGTGCTCCCAAGCACGATGTGGGCTAACGCCACATGGACTCAGGTCACCGGCGAGAAAGCCCGTCTCATTTCAGGATTCTGTGACCAGAAAGCTCTTGTAAAGCGGCCCTAGTCCCCACTGGCGCCGAGGCTGCCTTCTGGGGCAAGAGGACACGAGGAATTAAAGATGTCAGGTGACCACTGCAGGCAGGGACCTGAAGAGACCTGGAGAGACAGCCTTTCTGTCATTCATCAAGACACTAGTCACCTAACCTGTTTCTGTGTTTGTGGAAGGGGAGTAACGATATTTTCCGCAATAGGCCCACTGCTGAGGAGCGAAGGAGATCGCCCGGGAAGTGCGAAGGTCACACAGTGCTTGACTGAGTATTAAAAAGTGGGTGCCCGGCCCTCCTGTCCGCTAACATGGTGAGGTCCACTGAGATGCCTGTGTAAGCAGAATGGCTCCGGTTCTTTTGGGTGCCTCCCAGGAGGACTGCAGGGGCCAGAGCGTCAAGGACGGGGCCTGGCATAGAGCGAGGGCTGCCACCAGAGTGGGACCAGCACCCCCTGCGCTCCATCCCCAGGCAGACTCCCTGGGAAACTGCGCGGCAGTCGGCCCGGTCCTGGGCTGTCCCTCCACAGCCGCGAGCCTCAGATTAAATCACTGTATTACACTTTTCCAATTAACAAAAACTTTGATTATTTTTTTTCTGTATTTGCAGCTGCTAAACCCTCCCTCTCCAATCCTGCCTTAGCGCCATTACTTGCGCTCTTCATGATGTGCCTGTGTCTGATTCTGTCCCTGTCCCCAACGCCAGCATCTCGGGGCTCCTAATCCTGCTACCCTAAATATTAACTTGTCTTCTAGTTTCACAGCATCCACCAATTTTAATAAATCTTAAAGGCTGAAAGGCGCTCCCCGAGGGCTGTGGCACGGGCACCTGCGGGCAGAGCAGGCAGGCGAGGGAGCAGTACCGCCTGTGCCAGGAGGCAGAGGACAGGCGGCAGCAGCAGGTGCCGCCGGTCACACCAGGAGACTGCCCCTCACCCTGGTCAGAGGGACGCAGGCGGGCCTTCAGAGAGGGAGGGCCTGATCGCGTGTTTCAGAACATCACTGTGGGGTTTTAAGGTCTTTCTTCATCAGCAAACAAGCACAGCAGCCCCTCTTTTCCTCAGCTGCACACTCCGAGTCTCGTTAGCGGCTGTCCACGGCGGTCCGAAGCACTGCACGCGTACCACGAGGCATCTTGACAGCGACCACAGTCACACAGCCTTCACTAGTGTATGTTGTATAATTACCCTGCTTTACTGTGAGTCACTGCTGGTAACTTCCTACTGGGCCTAACTTATAAATCTGACTTTATCACAGGTCTGCATGTAGAGGAGAAAGCACAGGACACAGTCGTGCGTCGCCTAATGACATCTTGGTCAGCGACACTCCGCCTTGGTGAAACCAGGCGTGTGTGGGAGGAGGGGGCAGTCAAGTCGGGACTACTCAGGGGGTTGACAATCGAGACATCTCCTGACAAGGCATGACAGCTCACAGGCCTCCATGGGGATCCCCTGATGTCCGGGGGACCCCTGCAAAAGGGTTTTAACGAGTAAGTCATTTAATATTTCTGCAGGTGTCGCAGCAGGTGGTGGCTTCAGGACCCCAGGGGCGGCCGGCACTCTGAGCACGGCCACAAGAGCTTCCCAGGAGTGCTGGCCACAGCTCAGTCCTTCTTCTCGCCTCAAGGGATGCACACTTTCTACATCTCCTCCTCAAGTTGGACCGTGGACCGACCTTAGCGAATCTAACCCAGAAGAAAGGCATCACGTGTGAGGACTGGCCACCAAGCAGGGGCGCCCGCCCCTCACTTTCACCCTAAAGCTGAGAGCGGGGTGCAGGCAGGTGGGCACGGGAGCGGTGCTGCACCCCTTCCTCGCAGACCCGGAGGCAGTGGCTCTGTTCTGACTCCAGACAGGGAAACCGAGGCTCCTGAAAAGGGCCTCCCCGCGATGACCCGCCAGCAGTGGGGAGTACACCCCTGAACGCCACGGGGAGATCCGACCCCACAGGCGCTGCCTCCCTCTCCGGGGGGCTGCCACCCCCAGGACACGCCAGAGAGGATTCCACAGCCCATGCAGCTGCCTGCCATGCAGCACCGCTGGGGAAGCCGACGCAATTAGCGCAAAAAAGGAATGCTTGTAAGGGTCTGTCTGCCTTTGCTATATGGCACCAAAACTCTTATTTTAAAAAGGAATTCTTTTTTTAAAAGATTTGTTTTAATTTACTTATATGCATACAAGAACTGGGGTGTGGGCCAGAGGGCACTCTTATATGCCTTTCACATTTAGCCTATTTTTTACAAGCCTGGCTTTAGACATATTTTAAATCAATTTCCCCCACGATTATCTACCCCAACAGCCGCGTTTTCACTCAGGAAATACCAGGAGCAGACTGCCAGCACCCGCCTGCCAGCCCCTGACGGCGCCCGCCCGCCCGCCCACCCCCTCGGGAAGGAGACTCGCAACTGCTGCTGCACAGGACCCGCGGCCGGGCTCCGCCTGTGGGATCACTTGCATTGCGAGAGGCGAGAGTGGGGAAAAGAGACAGTTAAGAGAAAGGAAAGAGCATAAACAGGGCAAAAAGGCATGACGGCAGTGACGCGCTTGGGAGACAGGTCACCGGGCAGAGAGGGGCCACGGGAAGGCCGGCACCTTGGCCTGCCGGGCAGAGGAGCGGCCTGGTCCATCTGAGCAGAGAACAGCCAGGGGGCTGCAGTGTGGCAGCTGATGAGGGAGCGACTGTTGGCGCCGCCTCTGGAATCCAGGTGCGAGATAACAAGCTCTGTAACTAAGACAATGGTAGAAAGAGAAAGAAAACTGCTGAGTAATTACGGAGGAAGAACTGATGCTGGCAGCAGTCTGCTGCTGGGCCTGGGGGAGAAGAGGCTCAGAAGGCACTGGGGGTGATGAGCTCTACAGAGCTGGAAGGGGGAAAGAGTCCACTCCTGGCCTCACATTTTGCTACTGACACTAAACACCAATGGATGAGTGATTTAAAAAACAAAAGAAATAGAAATGAATGGTCGTATGATATGATCATGGGAAAGGCCTTTTCAAAAAGACTAGAGGCAGAAATCATAAAAGAAGAGAAATAAAGGGCTACGTAAACAGCAGTGAAACTTCTACGAGGCAATTAAAATATAAAAATTTGAAAAGAAAGCTAAATGGGAGGGGCATAATTAAGAGCTAATAACCTATATCCTTTTTATGTGTATGTTTTTAAACACGTAATGACAAATATTCCCCTTCAAAATGGCTAGATGGGGCCTCACCAGTGGCGCAGCGGCTGAGCGCTGGGTTGCGAAGCTGCCCGCGGCCTCTGCAGCGCCGGTTCGATCCCAGGCTGCTCCCCGGCCACCGGAGGAGGGTCCCACATGGCGCGCAGACCTCTCCTGCCGCCCGCTGCTCCCCTCAGCAGTGTCCTTCGGTCCTTCTGCCTGTTCTGCTCCCAGCTCTGGCTCTGGTGAATTCTCTCACCCTCCCGCGCTTCTGACTGACCCAGTTCTTGTATAAACAAATAAATAAATCTTAAAAAAAAAAAATGGCTAGGGACACAAACAGGCATTTCATGAAACATAAATGGACAGTGGGTATAAGAAAAAAATTTTTTTAAAGATTTATTTATTTATTCACACAAGCACTGGGGACAGTCAGAAGCGCGGGAGGGTGAGAGGACTCA